TTTTTGCCGACTGTAGATGGTGGGTTGATTCCGCGATGCGAACGTAGAACATTCGCCATTTCTTGCACCATTGAAGGTCGTGGAGCTGAACCACGAGAGTCCATAGAGAATATCCATTTCTGAAGAGATTCCTCTTCAGTATCGGTCAATTTATGAGAGTTGGCGCGAGAAATCGCGCGGTGTTGTATACCATTCAGGCGGGTAGAAAGGGTGGATCTTGGGACGTTAAAACGGCGCGCCACTTCACGAATTGAAGAGATTTCTTGATTCTTAAAAGCCTGGATAGCTAGTAAGATCCTACCCTCCTGCTCTATTGAGTTTAGAGAGGATTGAGTACGAATTGGTGGCATGGTGGGTGGTTGAACCAACTAAGATCTAATTCATGGACGTGTTTTGGTTGGGGTGGCCAGCTCGCTTGGGTGGCCAGCTCGCTTGGGAATTACGTTAGTTAGTTAACTAACTAGTTAACTGTTGGTGGCCTGGATAGTCTGGCATCAGACGACAGCTCGGTTCATCGAATGACTAATATTATCATGTGACAGGCACGTCTGGCATGTGTGGTCCCAACGGATGTTAGGGCCCAAGAGATTTGCCGCTGCAATGACAAACAGATGACAAACAGATGTTCTGTTTGTCCTTATGATCTTTTGGCCAAGCAGGTTAATGGGCTTTTGTAATCCATCAGGAGTAACTAACGGCCTGGTTTTTCTACTGGATTACACAAGACACTTGGTACGTCTCTCATCAGCTTGGACTTTGATATGTGGACGCTTAAATGACCTCTGTAAGACTCTAATCATTCGATCCATTTGGTCTGAGATGACATTACGGATGGCAGGGATGGCATATGTAATACCATACCAGTAAGCAATCTATTTGTTTGTTTTATCAGATCTTTCTAGATCATCATCTAGAGGTCTTTTTAGACGTGTACCAAGTCGCAAAAAAAAAACCACAAGCCAACTTTGTTTATGTAGAATCCTCAGGGAACGTATTAAATATTGTACAACATACACATGCGGGGTGCAACCCGTGAGAATCTCCTTTTAAATCCCCCTCAAAATTAACGTAGCGTTTCTGGATTAACTTTCCCCAGTGCCTTTGTTCAATCAACTCTCCTGTGGCCTGAAGAATTGAGCATGGAATGGATCTGTATCGGAGTGCATCAACATGGCCTTCAGTTCCCAATGTGATATCCGACCGCGCGCATTCCGTATAGCTCCTCGATAGGATCAGACAGGTGCGTTTGAAAGCAGTTGTTAAGGAGATTTCTTGTGATAATTGTGCCATGGAGAGTGCCCGTGTCCCAGAGCATCTCCATTCCCTGAAGTCAGCATTCCAGAAAACCTGGTTCCTAATCCATAGTAGTAAACCTGACGTTACCGATAACAACAGCCAGCGTATTCTCTGTCCGAAAAGCAAGGAGTTCGTGGATAGAAGTTTCTTGCGGCGAGGGAAATTTCAGCTTAGAGCTTCTTCATAAGTAAGGCACGGCGATTTGGAGAGGCGGGTGGTGGGGCATGTTGTGGATTTAGTTGCCTGTGGTGCGAATTAGGCGGTCAATGAAAAAGGTGTGGGGCTCTGAACCTTTTCTTGGCTTTCAAGGGCCATCTTTCGTAGGAACGCTCGACGAAGTGGGATTTGTTGTTCAAATGTAATAGGTTGATAAAATTTCTGTCTCCAAAAATAAGAACAGTTGAGCCTGCGTAAGAGAATCTTGAAGAAGCGGTGTCTTGATGGATCTAACATGAGGTGATCAAGTGGGAGGATGCAGTAAAGTGAGAGATGGCGTTGGATGGTCCAGCCGAGTGCTCGTGTTTTAGGCCGTGGAGCGTTGGTCAGGAGACTAGAATTGGGTTAAAAGTCGAAGAGGAAAGATTATGATATTTAGTATACACTTTATTTTTACCAAGCTTTATCTTTTTAATCTCACATACCCGATGTAGGTTATTTATACTACTTGTGTACCATCGTTCTTAGCCTCTAACATAGAGTATAGAAGAAATCAGCAACTGGTCCTGGATTTATACATACACAAGAAGAGAATGCTCCCCAGATTGTGAGTAATTTAAACATCCGTAGTTACTCGGCATGTCAATCCCTCAAATTGAAGCATCTTCGCTTAGTAGCTTTCATATAGGTTCAAAATCACGGTGAGTTCCCTGTTCTGGGCATGAATTTATCATCTTTTCCCTACTTTTGCATTGGCTTTGCGCAAGGTTATCTGTAATACCTATGCTGTAAACCAGTGGGCTTCTCATCCAAGCCGGCACCTACATCGTCATTGTCTCAAGAGCCATCAACCGAGTGAATTATATATGGGCGCTGATGTAGAACAAGTTATGCCAGAGAGATAAATTGACCGATCCGACTCGAAAGCACCCAAAATCAATACGACAAGGGGTGCTCAACTACAACCTATAAATCAATATATGCAGGTTTTTTTTTATTTGGCCCAAAAACTGCGTTGAGCGATCTTTAGCGCTGGCAAATATCAAGATGATGACAGCTCGCATAGTCGAGTGTTTCCACCTTCAGACAGCCAGCTTAAGCACCCCTCGGCCAACTGGCTGGCTTTCATCGTTTCTTTCCCGGAATTGAACTTTCTTTCTCCTCAGTGGAAGAAGTAATGATGTGTTCATTCACGCCTTTTGCCTGATAGCCTACCCAACGGAATATCACATGGATGTGATAGTGGCTGCATGGACGCACCGACGGCCTGCATCAACCGTGAGTGCCGGAGTTGGAAATTGACGGTTCCTTATTGTTTCTTTTAACGGCAGCAAGATGATACCATTACCAGAGCACGACTATTATCCCGCATGATATTTAGAACCCCGTACTTCGTAGTCTGGCATAATAAACACGAGATGCTAGGATTTAGTGCTCCCAGAGAACAGCTGCATGACACTTGTAAGTGATCCACATGATTGGTAGAAATGAGCACGTAAGGGTGCCACGGAGGCCAATACCGGAGCTGGAGAGATATCGTAACGGACTGGTCGAATTGTGGTGAGTTTAGGGCATTGGGGCCACGAGATCGTATTCGAGGCACGTGAGACATTCCAAGGTTACTCTCAGACTACGAGCAAATCTTCAGTGGAACTTCCCGTGGGCCTCCCTTGGCTCTCTGGCCTGATGCTGTTATCTTATAACCGCGTTCAACAACGTACAGCATACAACTATCAGAGCTTACGTTGAGCCGAAGGCCCGGGTTAGTGCGGCGACCTGTGCGTACACGACCCACCGTTCATCTCAAGCTTTTCGCAGATCGAAGGGCATCCAGAAATGCTAAGCTCTCGACAAGTGGGAACCCGGTAAATCCTCAAAGCCAGGAGGCCAATCAAAAGCCAAGCAGAAGCCCATGCAACCCATGAAGCTAGGGGCATCCAAAAGGTTTAAATTCCTCAGATCAGTTGGAATGATCTACTTTAATGCGGAATGAGCTTCGTTTTGGTTTCCTTTTCTCTTCCAATACGCTCTCTCTGGTGAGTTCTAGAGTTGTGTGTGCATGGAGATTGGACTTGGCTGATCAGAGCTTCATTTCAGTTTGCCCCCACTAATTCTACCATCCCACCACACATTCTCCTGACCACTCCACGACATAAAAAAATTTCGACGCCTGCTTTAGCTTGACCGACTGGCATCCACCAACCTTCCTCATGAACTTGGCATGAAATGCAAATATCCCGCGCTCTCAGCGGACCTTGAATCATAGACTGCCCCCTCCCCGAGGATGGCCACCACCGCCCCCCTCAGTGCGAAAAGCAAGCTTACTGGGCCCGGAGGATCCTTGAAAATCACTCCTTCGAACTCTCCAATCCTCCGACCAGGCATTAGATCCCCGAGCAAAACCTCCCATCAGTCATTCTTATCCCTCCAAACCGTTATCGGCACAACAGCAACCACCCCTAATGGCTTTTCAAGTCATGACCAGAGCAGAAGCTTTGCACTATGCGCTGGATCAGCAGCGGTTCTTGCAGAGTTAGATGAGAATGACAACATGACACAGCGCTTCTTCCGAGCTCGCCCCTCCGCGACAAGTGTCAACCCATCAACTTCTTTTTATAATCACTCGACTCCCCCGGCCACCCCAGATCCAAGGTCCCGATCCGTTTCCCATATCCGGTCTAGTCCACACCTAAATCTACTCAACGGGTCTCCGTCAAGCGAAGTTATCGACACCAGTCCGCGTGGATGGTCTTCAAGAGAAAGAATCAAAGCGGTGACAAGTGTTTCGATCAGCCCGAATGGCAGATTTCTCGCAGTGGGAGAGGTAAGTGGGAAATTTGGGAAATATCAATGGCAAAAATAGCCGCTAACAAGGTTAAGACTGGTTATAATCCTCGTGTTTTAATATTTTCGACAGCGAGAGATGCATTGCCGGATGTTCCTCTATCTATTCTGAACGAGCATACATTTGGTGTTCGCAGCCTGGCCTTTAGCGCCGACTCTCAGTATTTGGCAACGCTCGGCAATCCGAACGATGGATTTCTCTTTATCTGGACAATCAATCTCAAGAATGGGTCGGCCAAGCTACACTCCGTGAATAAATGCACCGCGGTCATCAAGGATATGTGCTGGGTTGGCCAGAGCTTGGTCACGTATGTTTGATTCGGATGGTCATTAACAGCAGTTAACTAATGCCTTTCTTCAGTACCGGTCTGCGACATGTCAAGGTCTGGCGTCTTCCAACGGTTATTCGGCCTGTTTCCCCAGCCAAGGCGCGTTTAAATTTAGAGGGAACTGGCCCCTCGCCAAATCCAATCCCCAAAGCACTATCTGGCAGAAATTGTTTATTGGGTGCATTGGGCGACAACATCTTCACCTGTGTGAACAGCATTTCCTACAACGAGGCTGTAATCGGCACAGATTCAGGCGCAGTTTGCTTTTTCGATGACCGCGAAGGGTCGCAGAAGATGATCACCGTAAAGCAAGTTGGATTCAGCATCACCTCGCTAGCCGTGGACTATGACTCGGAGTCCATATGGCTAGGTGGACGAGGAAGGCAAATGCAGCGGGTGCCGTTTGAAGTTTTAAGATCATCCGGCTTATCCCCGCCGGTGTCTTCTGCTCGCCTTGACAAGAATGCATTTGACAAGAAAAGCAAGACACCAGCGATTACATGCATGGGGTCTCTTAATTCTCATTTAGTCACTGTTGAGTCCACCTGCGCGATTCATCTATATCCGATCAAAACTTTAAGTGATGATGGTGAACAGGAGAGAGGTGAGGCTTCCATGCCGGCCCATTGCGACCCAATTCTCGGTATTTGCCGCATGGATTTTCCTAACGACTTGTCTTCGGACTTTTTCACGTGGTCTCGCGATGGTTCAGTGAACTTTTGGGATGTCCAAGGGAAGTGTCGAGGTTCTAAAAAAATCGATCTTGATCAATTTTCAGGAAAGGAAGAAGATTCAGCAAATGAACTCAAAGTTTTGCGGACCGCTGAAAATGCGGGCTGGTTCGTCTCTGCTGACAAATTTGGTGTCTTGAGGTATGTGCAAACACAAGATAGTGGCCAAGCTCTTTTAGCTGACTCTGATATAGAATCTTTTCAAACTCTGACTGGACTTGCCTCAACGAGGCGCGCGCTCATGGCGGAGAGATCACGGATGTGGCCATACAAGGAATGGACGATACCTGGCTGATAGCTAGTTCTGGGCGTGATCGGATGGTGCAACTCTTCGAGAGACGAGACACCGAGTTAAAGTTGATTCAAACCATGGACGATCATGTGGGGGCTGTTGGACAATTGATGTTCATCAACGAGGGCGAGAAGCTTCTTTCGTGCTCCGCAGATCGCACAGTTGTCATACGAGATCGTGCCACTCGTGAGGTAGATGGTGGCACATCTGTTGCCTACCTCATCTCAAGGGTCATTACTCAGAAGTCCTCTCCCGTGTCGATGACCCTTTGTCCAGATGACTCGAACATTCTATACCTCTCTACCATGGATCGCTGTGTTTCAAAATTCGATATCTCCTCTGGACATCAACTTCACTGTTTTAAGGCAACTGATTCGGAGACAGCCGATGCGGTGGTTCTGAGCTCGTTGACAGTTGCATCCGAAATCTTAGGCCAGACTCCGAAGGTTCTTATAGGTGTTTCGAGCACGGACAAATCAATTCGCGTCTATGATCTAGAGCGAGACCAGCTGCTCACTGGCGAATTCGGCCACACAGAAGGTGTTAGCGACATGTTACTCCTGGAGGAGCGTGATCTATCCGATGGGTCCCAAACAAAGCGCACGGTTGTCAGTGCTGGGATGGATGGTATATTGATGATTTGGGACCTATCTGTCTCTGTCCAGCAACAGGTCTCACCAGACCTTGTCGGGAATGTGCGTGAGGAGGATGAAACCCCCGTGAAAGAAATGGCAGCTGCGAGGCCCCCTCTCCGAAAAGTCCTTTCCCGCAGCGAGCTCGCCGGATTTCAACGACCGGATAGCCCCAATCCTACAACACCGACCCCTATACGCGAGCAATCTCCAACCCTACCCCGCAAGTTGTCTCGACTATCTCTAGCACCATCATCATTGAAAAACCACGCCGTGTCAGAAAAATCCTCCCCGCCAAACCGCCTATCCCCAACATCAGGATCAGGCATACCGCAAGGCCGACGCCGCCGGTCCCCATCCCCCGTAAGCCCGAAATCAAGGACATCAACAGCCCGAAAACCACATAGCGTAAGAACAACGAATCGCCGCACATCCATCGAATTCCGCAACCGCAGCAAAACAACCCCATGCGGTGACTTCGGAAGTCTAGAAATGTCCACCGAGCAGCTGTGCCGAAGCCTGCGAGCGTATCGAAAGAAACTCAACGGCTCGAATCAACGCATGCAAGCGCAAAAGGAGCTCGAGCGCGAGCTCAGTCTCACACTGCGCATCGTGGGTGGTCGTGAACAGAGTAGCGACGAGAGCGGCGAAACAGAGACGGATAGCAGCGGTAAGGATACGGAGCGCGAGCGGAAACAGAGCTACGCGGTTATGCCAAAGTCGCCACATGTTCCTCGCCGTATGCCGTCTACCCCGTCTTTGCGGCTGAAGGGGGTGCGACAGGTTTCGCGGAGCCGTTCTTGCGATCCTAATTAGGAGGAAAGAAGTTCGTTCTCTCATTGAAAATTTTCATCTTGCTTTGGGGAGAGGGCATTTCCGGTGTTTTATGGCCTCGGTTGTGGAATGTGGACTTTTTATCTCACGCCTTTCCTAGATCCTGTCTTTGTCTCCTTTTTCTCATTTACTGGCATTTTGGCTCGTGCACTCTCTTGGTTTTTTTGTCTTTTCTTATTCCGTGCATTTTTGCGTCATCTACTGGATTTTCGGCGGCTTGGGCGATTTCCCTTCCTACTTCCTGGTTTCTTAGAAATCATTTCCCTTCTGATGATACCCATATTTACCCCTATTTTTTGAGAGGCTGTAGGCCATCTCACGATGATCCGTTCTTTCCTTTCAAGTTTTTCTTTTGGTTGGAAAAGCATACCAAGACACACCTCATTCGAGTTTTCAATTTCATCTCAAAAATATCGCACTTTACACACACACACATACATTCCTCCACCTTGTCATAACCCATATCGAAATATCATCGAACACCTCAATCCAATCCTCAACGTAATCCAGACCAGGAGTGTCTTGATAAACGCTTCTTGTTCACCGCACGTATTCTCACCACACGCCAACTAGAAACCTCCAGATCAAATCAGCCTTAAAACTCAAGGCCTCAAACTCCAATCAAGCTCCCCAGCCTAGCCTGAAGAGTCTTGACGAGCTGTTTGCCCTGAGCACCAGGAACAAGCTGAGCAATACTAATTGCCTTGTTCGCCCAACGCTGACAGTCATCATCCTGAGTAGCACGGTAAAAGTCGGTAGCTTTATTGAAAGCCACAGTAGCAATCTTGATCAACTCCGCAGCTGGATATGTAAACACCTCACAGAGCTCAGATCCGGCCTGGATGATATTCGGATCGTGCAGTGCATTGTGTCCCCCCTCCTTAACGGCTCCCTCTTTGTCTGCCATTGCGAGGACTTTGTCAAGCACTTCTTCGGCTACCTTGGGGTCGGCCATGTTGACATCGAGCAAGGCAATTTCATGACTGTTTGGGCCTTGCGCCGGTGCAGTGGCTAGAATGAATAAACAATGGAGGTAGCGAGGCAGGGAAACCCGGAAATCGCGCTGCCATGTGGATGGGGGATCGTCCTGTAGCTCGCTGAGTTTTGACACCACCCGCTATTGTGTGAATTTCAGTAATTGCTCAGAGAGTTTAGTCGTCTCTCATTCAGAAGGATAGAGTGTACCTTGATGATCTGAATTGCCAGTGTGGGTGGCAGGTTCAATTGAAGAGTCAGATCCATGACAGGTGCGTAAAATTCCAGATCCGGGAATGCGTCGTCGGATGCACACATGTTGGCGACATCATCCCACTGTTTGAGGTACATAGCAGCCTCAAGATCGAAGAACTGTGCAATATCATAACGCCTGTCTTCTTTGTAATTCGCGTCATCATCTGTCTCCTCTTCTTCGTCTTCCCAACCGTGCAATTCATCGAGTTCCTGGAAACAAGCGCGTACACTCTCATAGTGCGATGTCTGCATATGGTCAGTACAGTCATCAGTCTATGATACTGTGACTCTTCCGGGAGATAATGTGTGATAAACATAGACTGATAATACCAACCCTTTCAGCCGGATCGTCCTCGCAGCGGGCCTTGAGAGAGGTAACAAGGATACGGAGATAAGCAACCGCAAAGAAATGTGGCCTAGGTGCTCTGGAACCCATCTCGGGGTATGCAATCTGACGATATTGAATCGCAAACTATAAGCATGTTAGTGAATGCAGTCAGAAAGAGATCTCACCTGAATTCAAAACAGACATCTCTGGAGTGGTCTAAGACAGAAGTAGCCCACAGAACCCCGGAAGAGTTGACAAGTTCCAAAGCAAGTTTGTAAGCTGAAAAATATAGCCATTGCAGTTGGGTGACTGAGACCTCCTGGTCACCACCTTCAAACATGCTATTCTCTTTAGCAAAAGACAGGGCTGTTGAGCGGTCAGCATTAGAATATCGCCGTAGCGTGAGGGAAAAACGTACCACTCTGAGTTACAGTCTCGATACTGTTTCCAAGCCTCTGGCTAAAGCCTTTGGAGAGCTCTTGAGAAAGAAGGGTGATTGCAAATCTGCTCGGGGTAACCTAGTTAGCTTTGGAGACAAACTCATAAAATAGAAACATTCTCACATGTAATGTTCCGCGGCGGGAAAATCGTGATGATAAATGTCATCTGAAGCCAAACATTTCATGAGTTGATCAAGACAATTTAGTACTTCTTCTGGTTTGTGCTGTCTCTGGGCTTCCATAGCGCATGATAGTAGACTTGCTTGCTTGTGTGGCACCGGGTGTAAAGGAAAACCGAGATAGAAACACCCTTCAAGTTCGTTAGAGCAAATCAGCAGAGTGAAAGTTCCATGCATTATTCATACCAGAGCCTTCTTTCCCCTCAAGTAAGCACAACTTATAAGACAAGTACATCCTTTGGCAATCCACCTGGCTTTGGACTAGACCCCGATCGATCAACCGGCGAGCAGCAGTAGTATCCCCAGTCTGTAGGTAGCAAGCTACCAGCTTCCTGAAGATTGATTAGCCAGCAATGCAAGCAAACCATAAATTTTTGTTCAACTGACTTTTGTATCGCAATCTGGATGGTCATGGAGCAATTTTGAAAGATCTTTGGATCACTGCACATCTGAAGCCATAGGTGTGCAGTCCAGTAGTCCTTCTTGAGAAGTGCATTGCCAGTCATTTTCCAGAGGCACTGTGTATTATAAGTCAGCTCTTTTTTATTAACGATGGCGAGAGTTTACCCTACAATCACGGTGGCGTGAGCTGCCTTGGCGCCAATTGATGGATATCCTCGTTTCTCTAGCGTGTCGATCACACACCGGAGGTTCCGAATACGCTTGGAATCAGAGATATCCGATCTGCTCAGAAGTAGAAGGAAAGCGACAAAGCATTTCTCTGTCCATTCCCTTGTTGGCAGAGGACGCATAAGCAAAATTCGAAATGCTTCCATTCCATGATCCGAGCCACTATAACAACTATTAGCAAGGTCTCATCAAATGGGCTGTACCAAGTTACCCTGTATGGCCCAGAGATCGAGCAAACTGGAAAATTCTAGATCTGCTGTTAGCATCTATAAAAAAAAACAGTGGGTCAATACTTTGAGATAATTCACATCGGCATGTTCATGTCCGTGAGAAGTGTTTCCTCAACCAGACTCTTCAGACCTACAACAAAATGATTAGTTCAATCGCATTAAGATATAGATTTGTCGTACCTTGTAGGAGTTCTTCATTGCTGGGATTGTTCTGTCCCACAAAGAGATTAAAAAGGACCATAGCAGGGTGCTTTGGGTAATCCTAAAAAGGTCGGCTTCAAGTCTATCACAATCACAGCAGACGTACATCTCTCAAGACCCTCATTTCAACATCGTAGATGAAGATTGCCTGAGGGCTTTTGACTTGTGCACAAGCCACAACTGCACCATGTCAGTCCAGGGCATCAGCTAGATCAACCTAGATCAATCTACTCACCGAGGGAATGTCGAACAAGCAAGTTCCACTTATGGTAGTCTGCAAAATTCATCTCAGCCATTATAGATAAGGGCTCCAAGTGATCCTTCGCTCTCTGTAGCCATGTGATTGCGACGTCAGGCAGGCGCCGTGCTAGTGCAGAGTCACCAATGATAAAACAAGTTTCGAAAATCAACTCTTCATCGTTCAACACAACTGGCCTAGGGAGTTTGGCGAAGAAATGTTCGGCGATATCTACTCGATCCTGCAACCAGGCCTGGGATACCATGTTAGGTTTGGGGTTGACGCACCAAAAAGTGTTCAGACAATACGACTCACCAGTCGAATACGGAGCAAGAAGTATCGGGTGGTGAGAGTGCGATTAATCGCAGGATCAAGCCCAAGATGAACAGGCTGAACACTTGCCAGCCTTAGAGCGGCTACTGACAAGATATTCAGTGCAATTTCGCGTTGCTGGTTCACTATTCTTGTTGTTAGATCGGATCAAGTCATCAAGTGAGATTTAGGCCGGTATACCGATGCAGATACGCGCCGCCTTGAGGGCCAGATCTAGAGCCCTGATATTGCCTGTGAAAATTCAGATAAGCACATTTCAACGTATACTAAAGGCCATAACAAACCTAGGAGATCAGGCAAGACAGCCTGGTTCAAGATAGCAAACGCGAGAGCCCTTACTTTACCGAGCAAGAGCACGTCCTCTGGATTGTGACCGCGCGAAATCATCAGATCGGTGCAGTCATTCCAAAGCAATGTCCCAATCGCATCCAGCTGCTGGTGATTAGCTGTATTCGTCACAAGACAGAATGGGTTACTGTTAAGGTCGCTGTCCAGTCTGAAAATGGTATTGGGCGAGAGAAGCGAAGTTGTTGAAGCATCGAATGTGGATAAAGTTGCATGCAAAGTGCAAGCAAAGTCTAAAGCATAACAAGTGGGAGGTTAGCGGTTGCACCCAGAGGGGGATATATATTGTGAGGCTCGTGCCTGCTAGAGCCTGGCGTGGCCCAGAAGGTTGCGCCATGGAGAAAACTTAGGAATCGGGGGCCAAGGGAGGAAGATGACGAAAAAAGGACAAGGGGAGATAATAAAAGATGATGAAAAGATGATGAAAAGAGAAAGAAAGTGAGAGGGAAGATGGTAGGAGTTGGAAGAGCGTGGAGGGACGAAAGAGACAACTGCCTCGTGAAGGCTACGATGAAAACATCAGGTGTGTAAGCTGTCTCTTGACCATAGCAAACCGAACATAAACACTACTCAGAGGATTACTTCACTTCCTAGATATCGTTTGTCTCAAAACACGCTACTCCATGTTGTACACATAAATCATGCAAGATACTTTTTCCCGTAAAAAACACAGCCAAAACTTGGGGAATCATTAAGCCAAAAGGTGAGACCCCAAATCTAAATCCTTGCGTCACATAAAATAGACAATTGTGTGCCAAAAAATACTATTTATCGATGGGGAGGAAGTTTCCAACGATGAGAGACGGGCTGCACATTGTTAATTCCGGCACGTCAGTACATAGTGGACAGTGAGCCGTGAACACTTACATGTTGTGATTGTCTCGTCTGATTGTAAACGAAAAGCAGCAGGTAATACCGTCATTCGTTGACTTAGGATTAGGACTCTTCAGAGTGCAACTTGTGAGCATGGCCTTTTGAGTATTGTCGAAGGCGATAGCACCGAACTTTTCCCAATAGCTGACCAGCTGATCTTCGACGATGATCTCATGAATAGCAAGTTTGCCCTACAGAGAGTGAAGATGTGAGCTGGTTGTGATATGACGTGCAGCGTCTCCAGGTTTGAAACTTACATCTCGCAGACCCTCGACCGGGACATCAATCAGCTGTGCCATCTCATTATTCCCTCGAAAGATTTCGCCCGTTCGGCGCCAGCAGCAGGCCGGTATGGCCATACTGGCAAAGACGCGGTCGTACTCCATAAGACTCCGCTCGAACCACATCTCCACAAGAATCAGTTCGATATCAGTTAAGCTCTGCATGCGTTCTCGGAACTTAGGCCGGAACTTGTCGAGCTGTCGCAGAATCTTCTGCCGAGATATTTGTTGCATGTTCTTTTCCATGTACTGATTTAATCGCGCATATCCCTTGACATAGTTGAACGGTTTCAGTAATCCGGCGTCATATTTTGCTTTGAGAAGCTTGTTCATCCGCTCTTCTGGTGGGTCAGTTCCTGCTGGGTCTGCGGCGGTCATGTAGTATGTTTCCCGGGCTTTGTCATTTCCAACCGTGGAGTTTGGTGGTTGAATCGATTCTCCTTGCGGTACTTGGTTTTTGGCTGGCGGTGGAAGTTGTGCTGGAGGAGGCAACCCGTTCGGCAGCGCCATACCGTTCACGGAATTCATCAATGATGAATCGGTGTAGATTCCCTGCATATCTTGATTTTGGAACATCGCCCCGTCGTCCAAGAGGCTGTTACTGAGAAAATCTCCGAGCAGATTATACTCGTTGGTCACCTCATGTGCATTGAACATGTACGACGGGTGGAGAGAATGCATGTCCTGGAACTGATTCTGACCACCTACCCAGTCGTTGTATTGCATGACTGTCATGCCACGTCAGCTGAGTCTGGAGGCAAAATAGGTGCAGTTGCGAGCTCACGCTGAGAATTAGCCTCGAGGCCCTGACTAGATGCAGAGAGGTTTCCAGGCGGCACCGTGGAAGGCGGGTTCACAGCCGAGGGTGTAATTCCGATCGTGGTATCAGGGAATGGTTGCTGACCAGCAGCATCGGCGACATCGACACTCCTAGGCATGCCTTGAACGGAGCCCACTTCATTGTTAGACGATCCCTCGTCGTCTGCAGCAGAGTTTTCGTGTTCGCCACGTCCTCGTTTCGCAGTTTCCCTCGGCTCATCGTGGCACAGGTGGCCGATATTTCGCTTTATACAGCGTGTGCAGGGCCGTTCCTTCACAGATTCAGACAGGTCAGCTGGTGTAATTCATTTCCCGCATGTATGCGTTCAGGGTTTAGATGTCACGGATCGCGATTGGGGAAAGGGGAGACAGAGGCGTCGTACCGAGTCACAGGTCATATGCTGTCCCACGCGAACAAAACCCCGTTAGCAAAGCCAGTTCCTCTGTGCAGCACTAATGGCATAACCTATCGCGTCTGGTAACCAAGCATAACGGCATCCTCAACAAGTAGACTTACCGAGCGGCGACAATATACACAAGCTAGAATTGCGAGAAACCATCGTCAGCGAAGATGCTCTTATTTTTTTTGCGCAACAGAATCGGCCGCGCCCAGATCCCTGTCGCATGCTGCGCAACAGCACCTTACCGTGATTCACCTTCCGGCGCTTCTTGGGGCTGGAGTGACTCCCAGAGCCGGTCGTTTCGGCCTTGGCCGCAGATGTTTGCGAGTTCTTGATGCTCGTATCCTTCCCTGCATCAGATCTGGATTTTGTCGCATTGGAAGCGCCCAGCGGCGCATTCTTTTCGGGCATTGCGCAAAAGTTCAGGGAGAACCACCAGGGCCGGAGCTAAATGGCTGCCTGCAGACCAGTTGGTGGCAGTTGGTAAACGTCAAAAAGTTCTTGGGGATGGAGAAAGCGGAGTCACCCCTCCGAACTGCTCCGCATGGGGTTGGCTGCTTGGGCACCCGCCACTTTCGGGGCGAGACCTCGGTCGAAGAATTACGTTTTCTATTTTGGCAATTGGATTTGTATTGAAACCACATTGTGCACAAGTTGCAGACTACTGTATTATTGATTCTCAACTGTCTGTTTTCTTCCCCCTTCTCATGTGATGGGGCCTCGGGTGGTCTCATCATCCTTGGAGCAGGACTCCCCCATATTGGACTGAATGCGCATGATATTCGAATTACTCTTCTCCTAATTTAGTGTGGTTCGAACTTGACCCCTGCAGTGGGATATCCCCTGTTGAAGAGAGGTGTGTTCAATCGTGCTCGGTTCCACTGTATGCAGCTATTCAGTGACTGCTTTGGAATTCGAGCACGCCACAAGGATTGCCGATCTGATTCCTGGTCGCCCAGACCGGTCTATATTTGGTTTGCGTTTTTGACAAGCGCGCATACCCTGCGCCCGAGGCCCTTCATGCGTAAATCAAAAGCCTTGAAATGCCGGGATTGGTGGCTTGTATGGTGTGGTGTGGTATTGTCCAGTGGGACGATCAGTCGTTGGACATCGAGTATAGATGCAAGGCAGCTTGTGAACGAGTGATAGCATCTCCAATTCCTGCGAAGGGGGCCGTGTTGCTTTGTATGGATTGAAGGTGGCCACGTAGTTGCTTCATAAGTCCTTGGACTTCAGGGTCGGTCTCCAACTAAAGTCAAACACAATGGTAAGTTGGCAGAGCGAGCACGTGTGGTTCACAAGCAGTGCATACCTCATCTAGTGTCACTTGGCTATCTTTCGCGCCAAGAAGCATGAACTCAGCGGACCCAGAGACCTCGATTTGAGGAAGTGCATCTAACTGCCGGAGCACGGGGTGTTCCTACGGTCGTAAATATTAGCCAGTCACGTTTGGAAGTAGTATCTGTTCGCTGCACACATTCTTAGCCTGTCGTTTCCTTTCAGCCTCGGCCCGTTTGGCATTCTTGTCCATTTCGTGGAGCGACTTTGTCTCCCTAGCAAGGAGTGCTTCTTCTTTGGCAATTTCAGCTTTTAGTAGATCAACACTGTCATTCATCGTAGCTAAGTGGGCCTCAAGTGAGCGCTAACAATTCAATCAGTGTGGACTTGTTGTCGACAATCATAGAGGGTCACATACGTGCTCATTTAGCGCAGATTCGTAGTCGAAGTTTGATTCCTTCGTCATGGATGGAAATGGCATTCGCGGGAGTCGTTTGCCTAGACTAAAGCAACGCGGAGAATACAGTCAATATCATCATATCCCAAGACACTGTTAGCTCTGCGGAAGCTACCAGACTAAGCATGACACCCTACTTTCGCACGACCGCTTGCACGGCACCCTGCGCCTCGATGCGCTTGCGTTCATTTTGATTCCGCATTATTACCGGTCGCTCGAGGGAGTGGAACATGTCCTTGACCTTTTCCTGGACGGGTTCCGGCAGAGGGGCCCATTTCGATTTGATGGTCTTCTCTGGGACGCGGCGGACGTGAGGTTTAAGATAAGCATAGCGCTTGGAATCGTCATCCTGTGGGGCACTGTCGCCTGTGTGTTTTCGTTTCGGAGGCATGGTAAGTTGAGAGTGTTGGGTCTGTTGAAGCCCAAAATTAAGCTTACATCGACGCGTCTTCACGTGCAGGTGAAACAGAGCGGTGGGGACAAAACACGGAGACACACTAGCAGCAATATTTCCACAGGTCTCAGTACAACATAGCCTTGGCCTTTATCACATTCGTATATTCATATGCACTAGTGTTTTCAAATTGAAGACTAAAATAGAACCCAAATCTACATTCAAGAAGTCAAATTGCAATACATATACGTCAGCTATAAAACTAATCGTGTGAAGAGAGTGACAGCACACTATCGCAGCTTTCACAGGCCAATGCCTCATACATTCTCTAAATTAATGACCTAAGTAGAAATCTATAACCATCTTAATACATGAACTAAAGTATTAAAATTTTCAAGAAATGTAACAATTTGAAAACTCAAACTATGTTCTGCCAATGCAGGCTTTTCGAATTATGCACAAGGGTATCGATATTTGCTGAGAACCAGTCAAAAGGTGACTTGAATCACCTACAGCGGCTAGATAAAAAAAAAGAGACGAAGAAAGAGTAGGCAGAAAAACGAAAAGAAAGAAAGGTATTGTGTCGCCGGGATATCCGAAGACGAAATGCGAACTCGCCGGCGTGCATACACAAAACTGTCCACCCGCTGAAACGCTTGCAATCCCGCCAAGAAAAGAGGTAGGGGCTATCCCATGAGATCTAAAATCTTGTGATTTTGTCACAAAGAATATCAACGCGGCATCACCATCCCATTGATGCCCTTCAACTCATGCAATTGGCTTTGCAGTATGTCATTCCCATGGAGAAGGTCTTCAAGCCAGTCAGCGGCTCCAGTGAGCATTGCGCTTTTACTGAACCCACCGCCTCTAAGCGCAGGGACTAGTGTGCACAAGTCTTCGAAGCCTTGGCGAATGAGATTTCGGCGTTTCTGCTCTGAAAGAATGTGGTTGGTCCGCTTTTGCTCTTCAGTAAGATTCTCTCGTGCAGCTTTAGACCCCGGCTGCAATCGGGCTTTGCGATACATGTCTGTTGATACCCGTCGGCCTTTGCCGATAGACCCTTTATGTTTTCTCAAGTGAGGTCGTGCATCAGCGTCATCGGAGCATTCATCGCCCTCCTCTTTCAGGGCTCTTGTTCGTTTCCGGGGATGTAAGCCCTCGTCCAGGACAGCTCCGCTTTGGAAGGCGGGACCTTGAGGAGGAGCCCCAGTAATGCGCTCTGGACTAGGTCCTCTTGTGTTTGCTGCACTGCTTTGTGGTTCAAAACACCCGAGATGATTGAGCAGGTCATTTGTCCGCTGTTCCTCGTCCGGCTGGTCAGGGGGGCGAAGATAGCCTTGGTCCATGAAACCGGCATCTGAGCCCCATCGCAAACTGCGAGTATTATTTGACGGATGTTGATCTGCAGGAATGGGGTCACGGACGTCAAAAAACATCTCCGAAGTATGATATCCAATCGGTACATCAGCTCGGGGTGGAGATAAAGTTGAACAATGTGCAGCACTGCCAGCATGTGAATTGTTCTTTTGTTGAATCCCAGGGGCGGGGAGAGATTGTCCCACAAAATTCTGATGTGCTAACGTAGATCCCAACTCCGATCCGCTTAGGCCGCTGTGATAGAGCATGGAAGCTGCGGCGAATATATCTGAGCTTGTGGGGTTGTCTGTCATCATTCCACTGGCTGTTTTGCCTAGTCCATGCTGCTGAAATGAAGGCTGTGATAGGGACGTGGTTGACCCTTCGAAGTTGGGTGGCAGCTCACCGGGCCAGTCAAGGATGGGTGCCCCGGATTTATGTTCTTGTCGCATCCAAAAATCATTTGTGAAGTGGTTTGCGTTCATGGTAGTAAAAAAGTTATCGAGCATGTTGGATTCATTATCATCAAGAAGAGAAGGCCCTGGAGGGAGAGCAGGTGCCTGTTCAAAGGGGGTGTCCATCGGAGAGAGAAAGGAGTCTGGAATCGGGTTAGAGAGCTAACAATACAAAAAATGATGCCTGGGGCAACTCACATCCGAATGGAGCAGCTGGAGGGGATGTGCGTCCAGTCTGAACTTCAGTCGCATGTCCATTCATAGTGAAGAGTAGTCCAATCTCAGATGGGATTGTATGCCAGAGTTTAGGTCAAGAAACGGGTTGCTACTCTGATGCTAAGAGTAGCGCGGACCAAGCAAATACTGTCATGCCTTGGACCCAGGTGCAAACCGTATGCGATCAAGGCGATGGCGAAAGTTTACTCCACAAAAGAGGAACGGCGGGGGGGGGGGGGGGGATCAAGGCTTTGGGATTCTCCAGGGTTGATAATCGACTCGATAAGGAGCCGGTTCGGTTCGGCGCAATGGGATTAAGAACGAGATGGTCAGTTAGAAGTTTAAATAGAGGAAGAAGTAGAAGATGATCAAGAGAATATCCAAAAGCAAGAGAGTTCCGTCCTGTAGAAGAAGACGTGGAGAGAATCGCATCATAAGCAATCGTCCTCTTCGACCGCGATCTGATCACATGCAAAAATTTGAGCGCGTGACATAACAATACAAATATTACAGATATTACAGCCGCTCCACTGTGGCTTACAAAGTCCCCCCGGTATTTAATACCTTTCTGGGGGAGAGCTGTTGACTCTCGGAGAACACTTTCCGACGTCCTTTACAGAGACATCTGGACCAAGTTGTCTCCAATGCTGCAAGTACACTGCAAGAACTTTTTGTTACGGATTGATTCTGATGCACATTCGGAGTAATTGCACTTTTAATACATTTCTCTACCACTCCCATTTTGCAAAGGAAAATACAGAATTGGGTCAGTCGGTTTATCTTCCCGATTTGAATTGTTCTCCTGGGATCGTCCTCCATTTGCGAGTTTTTGATCAAAATTTTCGCCTTGTCTAGCCCCGCAATCCCGATCATACTGCTTCGGAGGGCCCATTGCTTCGGATGATCGTCCTCTGTCTTCTCTGAACTGGTCCTTCCCCGATTGGATCTTGTTTAAGGAGGCTTTTCTGAATTTCTCACCTGGGCAGGGACCGAGGTACACCAAGTCTCTCAAACAGGATCGTTCATTACACGGTATCCATAGTCGATTCACTTTCCAGTAAACGATCGTACAAGTTTCAATTTCCCTTTCTCGGAGAATCCTACCCAATTTTCGGGAGGTGCGGTTGTAGGTCACCCGCGGATAAAACATATGGAGCTCTTGCACCTCCTGATTTTCTGATTGGCGAAGAGAATCTTGTGAACCCCATCAGAGTTTACAGTTGGCTTACTCCTCGTCACCGATTAGTTCGGGGAACTGTGATGTTGACAACCCCCCGACGGATCATGACATGAAGGTTTCCGGCAGCATGGAACCTGCACTTTGGAGACGCCATAGAAGAGACAACGTCCGGGTTATCAAGCCGTGAGTCCATGCGATCTGTTACCCTTGTGGCTTAGTGCAACTGTGTGATCTGAAGATCTCTTGCTGATTGTGACTGTAGCCTCCTTCACGCCTACGCGCTCGGGTACCTGTCTTCTGTCACCCCGAAATTAATATCTTATGTACGCCGACTGCGCAATAAGGACTGGACTGCGCAACAGAAACTTCAAGAGGTACGCGGTGACATCACCTATGTATAGCCCTGTTATCGCGACTCATCTTGTCACCGTTTTCACTGATCTATCGCGCAAATTACGTGCTATGGCTGACCTCGATTTGAATAGCTAGCTAGAGTCTTGACTGGTCCTTTGCGTCTGAACAGTTTCCCAACAGGATGTGCCTCCCTAGTTGGTGGCTCAACCCTACTACCAATAGGATTTTATCGTCTGTGTGCACTGGTCACGGCAGGGCTTTCCAAACGTGACTTTCAGATCTCACAAGGGCTCGACCGCTTAATTAGATTTGTCATCAATTTTCTATCTGGGTGGTTCAGTTTCCAACTGCTGAACAGAAATCGCGTCTGCCTGCCAATAGAAGATGTCAGAGATACCCAGAACTGCACAGATCAGGGGAGAGACCCTGGTCAAGCCATGACAATTCCGCTGGAGCATCACCGCCCTGAGTTAGCAGGGAGGACAGTGGACCTTACCATCTACATGGTCACAAGAGCCGTAGATGCAGTCGCGTGTGCTGCGTGGGACCGCTGGTCCCATCGCCGGCGGGCCCAGAATCGCTGGACGGTTGCCGAATCTCTTGTCCCCGGCTTCGCCGACGCAACTGTTTTTGCCATGAGTGCCGCTGTGGTCATGTGGGCTTGGTTTTATGTCCCCGGAAGACTGCCCAGAACCTATGAGAAGTGGATTGGAGAAGTTGCTCAAGTCGATTCACGTTTAATTGAAGCCTTGCGTCGTGTTCGACGAGGAGTCTTCGTTTATGGAAAGGATACAGGACAGGCGCCTCTTCTCCAGTCGATGTGCAAAGACTACAAATGGCCAGAAATGTGGGGAGACCCAGCAAAAGTGGCTCCGATTCCCTGCGAAATGGTTCACATGGGCTGTGGTCCTAATTGTGAGAAACACGCATTGTATCGATTTGCCAAAACCTTTAAATTTGCCTGTGCAACCTATATACCCCTACAGATTGTTTTGCGTCTGCGCAGTATGAAATCTGCAACTGCCCTCCATCGGGCCCTTTCTGATGCAACACAATCATCTGCATTCCTCGCATCTTTTGTGACCCTATTTTACTACAGCGTCTGTCTCGCTCGGACACGACTTGGCCCCAAGATCTTTGATGCGAAGACTGTTACTCCGATGATGTGGGACTCTGGGCTTTGTGTCGGTGCGGGATGCCTCATGTGTGGCTGGAGCATATTGGTTGAAAAGACACGGAAGAGGCAAGAGCTGGCGCTATTTGTTGCACCCCGGGCTGCTGCCACGGTTTTGCCACGGTTGTATGATAAAAAGGTATGTACCGGACCCTAAAATCCTTTATCCGCAATAAGGGTACATCCACATCCCCCTTCTCAATGTCTCCAAATTAGCCTGTGGCAGGCTCCAAAACAATCACGAGTTGCTTACGCATGTTGATGTTGCCTAGTACCAATACCGAGAGCGCGTTGCATTTGCTGTTAGCGCCGCTATTCTCATCACTTGTCTGCGCGAGCGACCTAGCATAGTACGAGGGGTTTTTGGTCGCATCACATCGAGTGTGTTGAAATAGACTTCGAGTAAGTGAGATGCTTGGAACCTTGGAAAGTACCAAATGGCTGTCATAGTTTTTGGTTATCTTAGACTTCGACTCTGACTTTTGGGTGACATTATTTACGTTACCCTGTATTATTTTTGTGAATTTTGCATCCTCGCGTGCATATTTATGCATTCAAGTGTTCACAGCCTGATGGCACTATTAATTTATTTACTAATACAAGGCAAATACTCTTTGTACACTAATACCATCGTGGTCTACTACTTCTATGCTGGTTAACGAGTAACTAGCTTATCCTCTGCAGGCTGGGCAGCTGGGAGGGTGCGGTCGCATCTTTCAATTTGAGACAATTATAATCCCATCTAATCTTTATCATCAAATCAAGAATCACTTCGAGATACACATACCCAACCTCGTTGTCTCAATGTTGCTCGCCGTTTTGATGTAACGTGACCCCGATGCTTACCTAGGTTGGATTAATCGATAAGCCGCCGAATCGGAGTTATCACGTGTTGGGTTACGCTGGATCTCGTGCAACTCAACATCTAATTCCATTGGGAGTCTTATAACCATGTTTTCGCGATTACTCCCCTCAATGGGGCGCTCTGGGCTGACGGTGATGATTCCCCAGCGCTCAATCTATCTCCAGAAGAGTGTCTTTGAGGTAGAGCGGAGGTATTTCTCAAGGAATTTCCAGCTTCATGAACAACGCCATTCGTCTGCAGCGCCTTTTAATACCCCAGAATCGCAAAAACGTAATACATCTACAATGTGAGCTGCCATCAAATTCGCACTTGAGGGAATTATTCTGCTAACAAAGTTCCCGATCAGGTACTATACCATCAGCCTGATCCTCGGAACGGTTGCCCTTGCATATGGATCTGTCCCTCTTTACAAAATGGTATGACAAGCTCTAACTCAATCTTGAGTAAAAAACCAATCAGATTCTCATTCCGGTTTCAACTGCAGATCTGCCAACAGACCGGTTGGGGTGGTCAGCCCATCCTCACCCACCGGATCGGCGACGGTGATACCTCTGCACGTGTAACGCCAGTGACAGACTCTCGTCGTCTACGCATCACATTCAATGGCTCGGTATCGGATGTCCTCCCTTGGAAGTTCACTCCTCAACAGCGCGAGGTCCGGGTGCTACCGGGCGAGACGGCGCTGGCATTCTATACCGCAACAAATAAGGGCCCGCAAGACATTATTGGAGTTGCAACATACAGTGTCACGCCAGGTCAGGTTGCGCCATACTTTAGCAAGATCCAGTGCTTCTGTTTTGAAGAGCAGAAGCTCAATGCTGGAGAGTCGGTGGACATGCCTGTTTTCTTCTTCATTGATCCTGACTTTGCTACCGATCCTACCATGCAGGGTATCGATACGATTACTCTGTCATATACCTTCTTCAGTAAGTTATGTGTCAATGCGTTGTTTTCTTAACCTGATCTAACCCAAAGCAGAAGCGAAATATGATGACAATGGTGTTCTGACGCCAATCTCCTCATAAGAAGCTCATACCAAGGGCGCACTGGGGTACTATCTTTTTACTGTGTGGATTTGCATGAAATTGGACATTCAACAGTGAACAAAGAAACATGCGTGGTACCGTGTCCCGCTTTTTCGTATTCATCTCACCTCTCGAAGCAAAATTTCGCATGTACTATATATACTACACATCCTGCATCTTGGTGGAAGACTGCCAAATGCCTAGAAAACTATCTAGCTGTATATTTCATTGAATTCATTCATTTGTCAAAGGTTATGCACAGAAAAGTCTATTTCACAAATTAGGCCTTTTCTTGCCTTCTTCTGCCGTCTGTGTATGAATTTGAAGAGATCGAGCAACATATCCAAAAAATTTAATACCAAAAGGCCGTATGAGCAGTCGATTATGCTTGTAAATGTACAATCTGCATTGAAATAAGTTTCTTAATGCCCTTGGCTGCATCTCTTGACATAGTGGGAGCGTGCACGGACCAGTGATTAATTAGGCGCGTGTCTGAACGCGTTCTCCGGTCCGCATCATTTGTCGAAAAAACACAAGCACTTCAGTTCCTCAATTCTCTCAGCGGTTCTACGAGGCTTTTTCTAAATGGCTCTTCTTGTGGACAAGCTGCGGCCACGCAACCTCGATGCTCTCTCGTATCACCCGGAGCTTTCTGATCGTCTGCGATCACTGGTAAGAAATCCAACCTGCGGAACGTGAACACCATTTTGACAAATTCTACCCTTTATAGGCACGAAGCGGAGATTTCCCTCACTTACTCGTCTATGGGCCCTCTGGTGCTGGCAAGAAAACACGGATAATTGCGACATTAAAAGAACTGTACGGCCCCGGTGTTGAGAAGATCAAGATCGACGCCAGAGTCTTTCAAACAACAAGCAATCGAAAGTTAGAATTCAACATTGTCTCGTCCGTGTACCATCTTGAGATTACCCCTGCGGATGTAGGAAACTATGACCGAGTAGTCGTCCAGGAACTACTCAAAGAGGTTGCGCAGACGCAACAGGTGGATCTCGGCGCGAAGCAACGGTTCAAGGTCGTCGTGATCAACGAAGCCGACCACCTCTCACGCGATGCCCAAGCAGCTCTCAGACGGACAATGGAGAAATACAGTCCCAATCTGCGATTGATTCTTCTGGCCAACAGTACGTCCAACATCATTGCGCCGATTCGGTCTCGAACCCTGCTGGTCAGGGTTGCAGCGCCTACTGAAAACGACATTTGCTCTGCACTCCATCTTGCAGGGAAAAAAGAAGGATGGACTGAGTCCGAGGTGCTTAACAAGAGGATTGCAAAGGAGAGTGGACGCAATCTGCGTCGTGCGCTGCTCATGTTCGAGTCGATTTATGCACAAAAGTGAGTTTCCATTTCGATCCCTAATGGCTTGCATTTAGAGGCTTACATTTGAGAATTCCAGTGAGAAAGTTACGGACAAGACAATGATCCCGCCTCCGGACTGGGAAGCCCTTGTTGCCCTCACAGCTGATGAGATTCTTGCTGAGCGCTCACCGGCTCGGCTGTTGCACGTTCGCGCACGCCTCTATGATCTTTTAACTCATTGCATTCCACCAACGACCATTTTGAAAGTGTGTATCCAAATTCCCAACGAACATGTCCCAGATGCTAATTTTGGCACTAGACGTTGACATTCAAGCTCGTCGCGCGGGTTGACGATGCACTAAAACCAGAGGTTATTAAGTGGTCTGCCTTCTATGAGCACCGCATCAAGCTGGGAAGTGTAAGTCATTGATGATTGTCATTGCCATCAATTCAAGTGCTAATAAGAAATTCAATGCAGAAAGTAATATTCCATCTTGAAGCCTTCGTGGCCAAGTTCATGCGCATATATGAAAGGTATGCTTTCCCTGTATAATTTCCGAGGTCATTAGAGACACATAACTAATAACATATTAGTTACCTGATGGGTATGGACTTTTAATTACTCACTACCAACTACCCAAGACAATGGACGAATGACGATTTGTAGTACACCAAGGTGGTGGTTCTCAGTGAGCATGGGATCTAAGAAGTTACGGCCTGCTATTAGGCAGAATCACTCTTTTCGAAATCCCCTTGTATCTGATAAATTTTCACTTTTCACTTTTCACGGGCGCATGGAGGCATTTGCTGAGAAGGATTCTGGCGTTGTATCATCTGTGGTTGTGTACTATCTTCGGAGGCATTGAAAAGATCTTTGCATACATCAACCTCTCAGACTCTCAGCTACAAATGTACTTCAACTGTGAAGCTGTGTCCGTCTTTTAGCAGTAGTCGATTCTGAGCAACTCATTTGATGCCAAATCCCGAGCTGCCCTATTATCATACGTCATCACAACTCCGTCATCCATAAACTGGACCGCCAACAGGGAACTTCGGAGTAGCTTTCAACTGTTGATCCGGATTTTCTGCTCTACTTTCAAAACAATTTCTCCATTAGTTTCGTCATAATACTCCCATCCCACGCGAAAATAAGCAAAATGTCCGACTCCAGACTTGTTGATATGGAACCCGGCGGAGAGAGCACTCAGTATGGACTAATTCAAGATGACCTCTTGCAATTGCCGTTCGCTGATATAGAAGTTACAGATATGAGTCTATCACTCTATTCACTAAAAGCCCTTCAAAGCAGACTGGACAACTGGGGAGTGTGTCGCTTCCTTGAAGATGATTCCGAGTGCACTACATCAATGACTGACCTTATCCAAGGCGGCGGTAAGCACACAATAAGCGAACTGAGCCCTGGTCTAGGAACGCATAGCCCGGCGCCCAACAATGACGAGGATTTCCAGACACAGAAGCTGGGCATGGGAGCAGTCGCTGACTCTGGTAAAGGTAATGCTGAGTATATTTTCCTTGTCTAAACTCCTAGTATCAAGACAGAAGATCCAACAGAGGAGGCCTTGCCTCGATGGCTCCTAAAAAGACGCAAACAGCTGACGATAATGTACAAAAGATATGAAACGGGACGAGGACGATGCCGTGGCCAAGGCCCGCAGACAGCAGGGGTATGGGCCTGGATCTGGTGTCGGGGCTTAGTCGGTGCAGACGACAAAAGCAAGAGACATGACCGATAAAAAAAGAGAAAACGGTATCATGCAGGAAGCGACAGTTTATTGGGTTGGGCCGGAGTTGGAGGAGGCGCTCTTCGGAGGCGAAGCAAGGTCATTAGTACCAAGAGGCGGGTTTCTGCGCGCCCGCTTGAGAGACTCGAGAGTGACACCATTTCCGAGCTTTGTGATACCGACAACGGGCGGGTCATCCTTGTGGACGAATTCCCAGAGACCTAATGAATGAGAATGAGCATCTTTTGTATCTGAAATAGTTCATGTAGAGAATGCATAACCCACCTGGCAATTTGTGGCCCGCCAATCTGAAAGCCTCACGGGCAATCTTTTCGTGGACATCTCCCTTCAACTCAAAGACGATTCGGCTTACGGGCAGTCGGACAGTCCAGTAGTCGAACTTACCTTTACCCTTACCCATACGCTGCTCGTTACCCTTGGTGTAGACACCAATGTTGGCGCTGACACGCTTGTACAGCTTATAATTCATTCCTCGCAGCCGCCGCTTGATAGTCTCCTCGGCGATCTTCAACGCCGATGCGGGCATACGGCGGTCGTGGTCTTTCATGCGCAGACCAAAGTCTCCCCACACGACTGTTGTTCCTCGGGTGGATCCGCCAGTAGCGACATGAGGGCGACCTTTGGGGGATTTTGACTTTTCTTGGAATTTTGGGGTCAGCCAATCAAGGGTGGGCGAGGTGGTAGAGAAGCATCGTGACAGAGAAAAGGTGGCCAGCGGTACCGAGACTGTGTTGCACTATTAGTTTTCGGCCCAATGGATTTTCTGGGAATCAAATCGCTCGTACGAGTTGGCCGCGTGCAGGCGGAGAGCGGTCCAGCAAACATCTTGATCTGTGGACCCATTGTGAGGAGAGAAGCGGCGAGATATACCAATGTTGCGAGAGGCTTCGTTACTCCGGCACTTTTCGATGATTGGCACTAGTCCAGAAGTAGAAAGACTCTATGCACGTGACACTGTTCCTGCCTCTGTGCCAATGCCTTGAAAACCAGACCCGCGCTCAGTCACAGCATAACTAACTAACTATACATTCCAGAGTAGCTCTAAACAGCACCTTATTGATCTTACATGTAAATTTGTACTAACATAGTAACTGCGGTGTGTGGTGTAATATTTCAAACCATGCATATATACAGTCCATGATGATATAGCGTTGTGTTCAGTCTGGCTAGTAATTTTCTTACTATTTCCTAGAATTTTGCAAGAGTACTTAGAAGCACCTAGTATTTATATGCAGTGTACAGGCCGGAGTTGTTGGATGAGTTGAACAAACATTGTGCTCTCTCATGATTATTATAGTTCCAATGTTCCCATATTGTACTAGTTTTACGTAGTCATATTTAGCTGTACCTTGACTTACATACGCTAGACCTAAAAGGATGAAAGTGGCCGCATTACGTCAGCCAGTCACGTCTCCCGGGAGTGTGGCGCGTCGTTCGCGATCTACCAAACGCTGCAGCAAGAGCTCGATTGGTCCTGAAACGAGTCCCCAGTAACTGCTCTGTACCGAAGTCTGTGTGACTGATCGAAGTGCCTTATGGATATCCGGAATTTCTTTGGCGGCAAGCCAAGTCAAGGCTCCAGGGATGCCGCCGTGAAGCCCACGGCCAAGAAAGAGGTAAGCTAGTGCCTTGCTCACGAGGGGAGGCCCTCGTCATTTTAGATGTGGCCAAAAGCCCTTGAACCGCTCAAGATTATGTTCTAACCTCTAGTCCGACAATGCAGGACTCTTCCGCCACGAGAAAGAGACGTATGCTCTCTACAATCCACACTACCGCACCACCAATCTAACGCGAGAACAGGCAGCAGGAAAGTTGTGGATGACAGTGATGACGAAGAAGATGTAGCTCCCGCCAAATTGCCCGCTACCAAACCGAGGTCTAAGAGTCAACCGTATGTCCATTCCTGGAGTGAAGTGTTTCATGCCCTGGGACTGATGAACTATCTTCATAGAAAACCTGAGGACACCAAAGAGGAACCTACAACTTCCTCAGACTATTTCGCTTCCAATAAGAAGAAGCCACGACCTGCCAAAACGAACGAGCAAGCTCAGCCCGATAAAGTCATGATCATTACCGAAAGCCCTAAACTAAAGAAGACCGCTGAAGAGCCACCAAACAAGGGACGAACTTCTGCCCGGGGATCAACAAAGAAAGTCACAAAGGTTCTCGAGGATGAGAATATCGGCGCCGATGACATTTTTGCAACCGAATACGGAAAGACCAGCAAAGGAGACGACGCTTATGTGGCTGGAGGTGATAGCGACGAGGACAGTGACCTCGAAATGCTTGAAGTAAAGCCAGCCGCTGCAGCATCGAATAGGACACAGAACAAGCAATTTTCTCGCGATGACGAGGATGACATGGTCATGGAAGATCTCCCAAAGATTCCTGCCTCGAAGGCTCGACCTGGCCGCAAGCGCAAATCGGAAGCTCTAATCGACGAGGATGAAAATGGGGACTACCAAGAACCCAAAAAGGAAACAAAAAAGGTAGCCTCCAAGTCCAAGACCATGGCATCACCGGCTGCGAAGAAGCAAAAGGCTAGCCCTAAAAAGGCCAAAAAAGAGGACAAAATAGAAAGCAAAGAGCTCCGTGATATCTTCGACAGCATTCCAACAATTGACGCCCCAGAACCTCCTAAGGGAGAGCCAAAGAAATTTAAATTTGGAGCACAACAAAGCCGGGACCCGGCAATGACTGGGACTAAGGAAATGCCCGTTGGCGAAGAAAACTGTCTTGCTGGTTTGGCTTTTGTTTTCACCGGTGTTCTGGAATCCCTCGGTCGCGAAGAGGGTGCGCAATTGGTGAAGAAGTATGGAGGCAAAGTTGTGGGGGCTCCCAGTTCTAAAACGAACTATGTTGTCCTCGGATCTGATGCCGGCCCAAAGAAGCTCGAGATCATTGCGAAGCACAAGATCAAGACCATCAACGAGGACGGTCTCTTTGAATTGATTAGACGACTGCCTGCCAATGGCGGCGATGGAAAGGCAGCCGAGAAGTACGCCGAGAAACTCAAAGCCGACGAGGCTAAAGTCCGTGCCATGGCGGCCGAAATTGATGCAGAAGAGAGGAAAAGAGAAGAAAAAAAGCGAAAGATGGCCACGGCTCAAGGACCCAAGACTGCCGCTACCACGTCTCAGACGCCACCAAGCTCACAGCCCGCATCATCTGGCGATCTCTGGACCACGAAATATGCCCCAACATCGACCAGTATGATCTGTGGCAACAAAGGTGCTGTAGAAAAGGTTCAGAGCTGGCTGCGGAACTGGCATGCCAGTGCCCAGGCCGATTTCAAAAAGGGTGGCAAAGACGGCTCGGGGACATACCGTGCCGTCATTATTCATGGTCCCCCAGGAATCGGCAAAACTACAGCAGCCCATCTTGTGGCGAAGCTTGAAGGATTCGATGTCGTGGAAACCAACGCCAGTGATACCAGAAGTAAGAAGCTTGTCGAGAGCTCTACTCTAGGCGTGCTAGACACAACATCATTGCAAGGATATTTTGCCGGACAAGGCAAGCAAGTGGAGAGTGAAAAGAAAAAGCTCGTCCTCATCATGGATGAGGTTGATGGCATGTCTGCCGGTGATCGTGGAGGTGTGGGAGCTGTCGCAGCCATTGTCAAGAAGACCAAAATTCCAATAATCCTTATCTGCAATGAGCGAAAGCTTCAAAAGATGAAACCTTTCGATTTCATCACCTACGACGTGCCATTCAGACGCCCGACAGCTGAGCAAATTCGGGCAAGACTGTCCACTATTTGTTTCCGGGAAGGTCTCAAGATTCCGCCTCCTGTACTCGACGGCCTCATTGAAGGAACACATGCCGATATTCGCCAGGTCATCAACATGCTCTCCACGGCAAGACTAGATCAAAAGGGTCTCAATTACGATGAAGGCAAACAGATGTCGAAGTCGTGGGAAAAGAATATCATCCTCAAGCCATGGGATATTGTCGGCAAAATCCTCAGCGCCCAGATGTTTTCCCCAAGTTCCACTTCTACTCTAAACGACAAGGTCGAGCTTTACTTCAACGACCATGAGTTCAGCTACCTCATGCTTCAGGAGAACTACCTCAAGACCAAACCCGCTCTTGCGGGCAAATACCATGGCCAGGAACAACGACTGAAATCGCTTGAATTGCTGGATAATGCTGCCTCGAGTATCAGCGACGGTGACCTTGTCGACCGCATGATCCACGGGACCCAGCAGCAGTGGAGTCTTATGCCCACCCATGCGATCTTCAGCTTTGTGCGGCCAGCCAGCTTCCAGTATGGAAACTTGAATGAGCGACCTGCATTTACTAGCTGGCTGGGCAACAACAGCAAACACGGTACGTCTTGGGTGTTCACTCAATTTCCGTATACACTTTCTCACTAACTTATTCTTCAGGCAAACTATCTCGATTTGTCAAGGAGATACAGGGCCACATGCGTCTTCGTACCTCAGGTAACCGCGACGAGATCCGTCAGCAGTACATGCCCTTGCTCCAGGAGAAGATGATACGCCGAATGATGGACGAAGGCAAGGATTGTGTTGACTCGGTCATTGATCTCATGGATGAGTACTATCTCACTCGCGAGGATTTCGATTCCATGGTTGAACTAGGACTCGGCCCAATGGACGAGTCTAAGATCAAACTTGAGACACAGACCAAAGCTACCTTCACGCGTCTGTACAATTCGCGTTCGCACCCCATGCCATTCATTAAGGCCAGCAATGTTGTGGCACCTAAGCAGGCAAAGAAGGAGAGGCCCGATATTGAAGATGCCATTGAAGCATCTGATGAAGAAGAGGTTGTCGAAGAGATTAAGAACGAGGATGAGGAAGAACTTGATCTGAAGAAGGACAAGTATGTGAGCTTGCCTAAGAAAAAGAAAGCGCCGGCCAAGGGCAAGAAAACGAAGAAGGCCGATGATGATGTTGATGCTGATGAGGAAAAGCCGAAAAAGGCTCGTAAGAGCAGGGCCAAGGCCAAGGCTTGAAAGATCTTCATTTTTGTAACATGTTGTCCTTTTCCTAACAAGCGTGCCGTTCAAAGGTGTTGGTGCATTTCAATCTGATATCTCTAAGCACACCAATTTAAGTGTTGTCTTGTCCACTTTACGTCTTGACATGTCTTCGGACTTCTTTTCTTCTCTCACTCTTTTCCTACTAAACCTGCCCCTCGCGCTCTTATGCTAAACCTTTTATATCTCTTCTCTCTCAAATCTTTCTATTCTGACTCTTGCTCTGTGTTGACCTGCTCCTGCAGCCAAGATGACTGCTGTCTATGAACTTGATAGCTCTGAGGATATCACACTGACTATGGCCAAAAGTCAGGCTCATCGTGGATGTGCACACACTCTACTGTCTTTGTATAGATTCCCCGGACACGCAGCGTCTAAACTCCCGTGCAGAAAACTCCTTCTCTCTTGGGAGGGACTTCTCGTGGGGTCTCCTGTTCCTTCCTTATTTCACTAGGCAGGAGATGTCACCTAGGCACCTCCCTCATCTGACCTCTCTTTCCCTAATATACTCCCCTTCCCCCCTCTCCATCACTGAAAGGAACACCCACTGCCGCCATCGTCTCTTGCCAGGCACGGTGTGCCAGCATCTCTAACTTTCATCCGATCAACAAAGTAAGGATGACTCAATCCTCGAAACCTTATACGAACCTTGCCAAGACTAGTTTGATACACCGGAATGTACGTACTTTCTGTCTACGTTGGTTCCATACCGGTCTCTGCGAGCCGACATCCAGCCATGTCCGATGTCTCGAACTCCCCCGATACCAAGTGCTTCGAGGCACTGCCCCTTGACACATTCAAGGCCATCGGGTCATCAGAAAGCATTATCCTGAGAATGACAAGAGAACACCGGCGACTTCATGTGAAGGTGGCGAAATACCTTTTTTTACTATTGTGCCACCCCAAATTGCGGAGAAGCTTTCTTCGTGTTCCACTCGGAAGATGTGATTAAGGAGCCCGACGAGTCGTGGGTCCCTATGCAACCTGCTCCAGGACGCGATAAAAAATAGCCGACCGTCGTAGTTGAAGTTGGTGTGTCCGAGGCGTATGCAAAGCTGATCGCAGACGCAGAATGGTGGCCCAAAAACTCGAAGGGCAATGTGAAGCTTGCGGTTATCATTTCCGTCAGCCGCGAAATCCCGATGATCACGTTTGAAACGGTGGCTCTGGATGCGAACTTCTTTGGGCGCCAGCCATCTCGTTACGTGCCAACTAACTATACGACAGTCAATCATGACATCCCATGAACTGAATAGGCCAGGCACAGTGATCCACATTAGCCCACCAAGAGCTTTGGTCATCGGGTTTGAGGACTTGCTTTGTCGTCAGTCAACCCCGAGCACGACATCACAATCTCGCTTGCTCATTTGGAAGAGATCTCACGCGCCATCTGGAGCCTACAAGGCCTCTAGTTCGGCTGATCCTGGAGCACAATCCCCTCGGTCTTGCACAATATATTCTAGCTCAGTTAGCTCACTTTGCTTCCTCAACGAATGATACAATTTTACACAAGCTACCCTTCCTTGGGTGTCATTTAGGTGGAGTTGCATATAGTAGTTTACTATATGGTTTTTCTCGACATCGAGAGCATAGCCACCTGTGCAGCAATAACTGATTCGTCAAGTGTTGCATGCACATTGATGTAGTTGAGAATTGGCAGGGGACCCCCTTGGCGGGGGAATGATCTGCGGAGAACACCGAATTTCCCTCTTCTTGCTTCTGGCATCCAACTCTCCTTTCCCTCTCTTCACTCCTTTCTTGACATCTTTATCTTTTTGATCTGTTTTTCCAGGCTGGTCCTGTATGAGCTCCTCTCGTTCGTTTTCATCCCTCTCTTTGTTCCCCCGAGCATGCGCTCTTAGCTCGAGTTGCTGTGATCATCCAGACCTCAGTCGCTACTGCACAGCACACACCTAGGTTACTATAGGCATATGTTTCAGTGAAAGCCAGTAAGATGTCTCTTCTTCATAACGAAGAGTAAGTCACGCCCGGAAATGCAGACCGGCCACCCCTCAGGTTGTCACGGAAAGGTGTCCAAGCACTAACCCGAGTATAGCTTCACAATCTGGCAATTACGCTCCTCATATCTCTCAACGATCAAAGATGGAATCGGGGACCGACTTATCAACGTCAATGACTCTATTCTGAATACACCTGGCTTCCGCGCGGCGGGCTGGTCAACCGCCGCCGCGTACCCCAACACACACAACTCCTCCCACCTGAAGCGTTCTTATTCCCCACCGATTCCGACAACAGCGAATGTTTCATCCGAATACTACAGACTAGCGGAACGAAATGCAAAACCCCAGCGCCATGAATTGCAAGGCCTCGGCCTGGAAGACGGCGAGGATGATGGTGGCATGGTGACCGGCAAGAGCCAAACGGACATGACCGTGCGGCGAAATCACACTCGCGGCGGAAAGAAGAAAACACGACGGGAAAGGCAACAAGAGGTACAGAGACAAGTGGAGGCAGAGGATGACGATAGCAGCGACCTAAGTGATGACAGCGACGAGGATGGAGACAACGTTGGCAGGTTTGTGAATTATTGTGGGGTATTATACTTCCCTGTCTGACAAAGAACAGTGCTGTTGATCAGATCAAATTCGACAAAATGCCCATCCGCCGAGATCGAGCTGACTCTTCTCCAATGCGCTCGGGAGAACAGACGGAGCAGCCAGAAGTCATGATCACATCTGCGCCAACACAAAACCTTGCAAATCAATACCGCCAAGTAAAGCCACGCCCCCGTCGAGATACGACTACTAGCAGTGATGTGTCGACGGATAACGAAACCGACCTTAGAGGCTACAAACAAGGACAAGTTCAATTCTCCGCGACTGATCAGGTCGTCGAATATTCGCGCCACCGGCGCGAGCGAACTGGCAGTCGAGGCGCAGAGAGCCTAGCCCTCGGAGAACTCCACGAAGAGGATGAGGACGAGGACTCCGGTGCTGAGTCTGTTGGGTCTGCAATTTCTTCTGATTTTGACAATACGGCTGGGTCTGGCTCTTTGCTGCTGGCAGGCGTGCCTGGCGGTTTGAATTTGTCATCGCCCGTGGCTATGATGAACAATTTATCTTCTGGCACAGGGCCGCAGAACAACTCACCGCGCAAGCATCGCACTCCGGCTCCTGCACTCCAAGATCTTCCCCCGCCACGGCCCATCAGCATGGTACAGCCGGTCAGTTTGCTAACCAGCCAGCTGACATCTCGGAAGCGAGCGCCAAGCAATCCAGTGGACAAATTCGTGGTGCTCTCTGGGCGAGGTCAAGAGGACTCGCTGTACTTGAAGATCTACGTTCCTTTTTCAAGCAACCCCGAAGACCCGCTGGATCTGCCACTTACACGCGAGTCTAAGCTTGCAGAACAGCCCGCTCAGGTGACCGTTGCTGAAACGATTGGCCTTGCCCTATGGAAATACTCCGCGGACGCTCGTGGTCCACCAATCAATCGCGAAAATCTGACCGTGAACCGATGGACGCTACGGATGGTCGATGATGGTGAAGTCGAATATGACTTCCCAGCGCTTGGGCGGACACTTCCAATGTCGGATTTCACCTCAAACAATAATCAATCTGCCAAGTCCCGAGGACGGTCAAGGGGCAAACCGTACGATGAATTCGCACTGGTTGAAGCATCGGAAACGGAGTTTGAGGAGAATGAACGGCTATATCCACAATTCAGTTCAAGCGTTGGGTCGGAAGAGGCGGATCAACCGGCGAGTCTTGCAGTACCAGGGACTCAACCCGCTGCACAGAAACAGACCCCTCACACCACACCAGCTCGAGCAAACCCCATCCTAGGCCAGCCGTTCTCGTCTGCGCTTAACCACAGCACCCTTACTCCTGCTGATCGCCCCGTGGTACCTATCTCGCATGCAACTCCCCGTCTTGGGGTTTCCAAGACGTTGAAGATTCGCTTCGTCAATATGGAGGCTGCTGCACATGTCATGACCATCAACACATTTACCGATAGCTATATAGCCGAGATCCTGGACTCGGTATGTAAACGATGGGGCCAGGATAAGGGCAACTACCTCTTGAAGGTGATGGGGTCGAACACGATTGCACCACTTGACCGCACAGTCGAGGCATTGGGCAATATCACAGAACTTGATCTGGTGCGTCGCCGCTTCGGTGGCGGTCCCCTAGCACTCGGAACCTCACCAGGCAGCTCATCACCAAACGCGCCTTTGATGGTAGAAACCGCCGACCCGACAACCTCCAAGAAGAGCAAAAAGGATGCCAAGAAGGGCGCTCAGCGCATGTTGCCTTCATCTTCCCAGAAACAAGACCACCTAGGCGGATATTACCGCCGGTACCACGTGTTCCGCAAACAACCCATGTCTTTCACAGCATCTAACCATCGGATCCTCACGTTTGAAAATGATTACATGCACATCGTGCCCGGTGATACTGGCAAAACAGCGTCCGGTGGTAAGACCCGATCAATCAGCTTCAGCGACGTGATTGGATCCAAGGTCAGCCGACGGCACCCCAAGAGCTTCCGGGTGATGATTGTGCGCGGTAATGATGCCACCGAGCAGAAGCGCTATGACTTTGAGGCAAGAAGTACCAGTGAGGCAATGGAAATTGTGGACGAGATCAAGAAGAATATGGCACATTATCGCATTTGAGTCTCTGCCCTTCCAGACATGGAATTGCGTTTGGGGCGGGGGCTTAGATTTCGGGGTGGGAAAATGCGTTTGTTATACAGGCATATTGCAGCTTTCAATGAACTTTCAACATTCAATCCAGCTCTGGAGTCACCTTTTGGATTTCAAAGTTGATCAATCAAGCGGGTATGTTTGAGAAGTTCAGATGGCTCCCCAGGTGAGGTAGTGCGCATTTCAACAATATCTTGTCTCACGTGAATCCAGACCCACTTGAAGTGGCCCACTTGCTATATAACCTTATCTCAATCGAGACTTCTAAGGTTGAGATCCATGCTGTATGGATACTCTACAAGAGAAGTCCTTGTCATGTCGTTTTAGTCATCTCCCTTGGCGATCCTTTTGGACATGTTCCATCCTCGCTAGTGTTAGCCGCAACACACAGAATATAAGCCCCCCCCAAAAAAAACATGTGGAAAATGTGCCACTCGACTTTTCAAGATAGATATGAATGCAAGGCTACTCATGTCTACCAAACTTCACCCTAGATGGTAACAATGACGATAAGCAAGTAACAATAAATAGCCCTGTGGGTTATACGCAAAGTTTAAGGGGTGAAGTATGGCAAACAAATGGCATGGACTACACAACTTTTGTGGCCTTCATCATCTTTCTTCTTTCGTCGACTATCTTCAGTCTTGAAGAAACTGATACTTACTCTTAAGACTTTGAATATCACTTCACGGTATAGGGTAATCGGGCACGAGTGGTCGAAGCTCTGAGATCTCCGAGGAACACTGGAAGCAATTTCACTGATAAAAAGTGGTTAAAAGCTGTTGTGTATTTCTACGTCATACAATTCGCCAAATAGAAAAATGACGAAGTTGATGATCCACGGCTTTGCCATTGTAATTTTTTTTTTTGTAAAAGGAAAAATGCGCATGAAAGATGGGGTCCATTTAAGACTTTCATCGGATTTTAAAACCAACAGATATACCTTTTCAAGTAAATTCTCGTTCAGTAGCATAGTGCTTCACTCAAAAAATTCCCAATGCCACTATGTCCGGACTCACGTTTAACATCAATTGTTGATGGGCTTCAGCTGATTAATTTCTTGTTTGTTCAAATTTCACCTATGTAATTTTTGAACAAAATGGTATGGTATCTCAATGCTAATTCGCTTGACAAAAATGCACCCCCAGAATGCCCTCATATATGCTGAAACTACCATCCGTACTTGGATCCAGCTTCCTTCTTGTTTCTCCGACCCGTTGCAAAGCTTTCCTCCAATGCCTCCTTCTGTGAGCTTGCAACGTTGAGCAATTGCTGGAGGGTATGCTTGCCCGGCGCAATAGCGCGCACAGGGTTGTGCTGTGCTCCGGCCAGCTCGCCTTGTGCCAAAATCTGGTTTGACGCGTACTCCTCGTCTGTGTTGAAGGTACGCACCTGTGACTGCGATGGCATGACATTCCGACCGAAGAGCTGACGTCGGTCGGCCTTGGACAAGTTCAGATCGTTGGCAATGCGGTCCAAGGATGATGTTGGGTTGGTTGATACTGCTGCAGTTGAACGCTCCATGGCGATAGGTACGGGTTCGGCGAGTACTGGATCAGCTTCTGATACTTCTTCGCCTTCGGCGTTGTATACCAGCGGCTGATAGGTTCCCGATGGCCCAGGTGCCGGGGCTGGCTGGAAAGTGACCTCGTCCGTAGATAGAGAGAAGAGACTGATTTTGGGCTTTGGTGGTGGAGCTGCAGCTGCAGCTGCAGCTGCAGGGACAGGGGTAAGGGCTTGCTTTAGAGGTTGAGCAGGCTTTGGCGCTGTCGATGAGGAAGGTGTTGGTTGCTCGGTGATCTTGGCGGTCTTCCTCTTCTTTTGAGGCCGGCCGACGGATAAAGGTCTGAACATCATTGGATTCCCTTGTAATTTGATCTCCGCTGGGGTTTCTCTAGTCTTCACCAAGGCATTTGATCCAGTATCGGCTTTTGAGCTGCCAGGTGTAGATGTGGTGCCCTCCGCCTCTCCCGCTAGATCTTCAAATGCGTTATCGTTCTTCATCTCCGCATCAGCTGTGCGATCAAACCCAGGGCCCGCTCCTGTTTTGAGACTAAACACCTTTCGTGTTGTCGCCACTGGTGCTTTCGTTTCAAGTGTTCGTTTCGGCGCTGGAAGGAACGCGTTGAATCCCGAAAGGCCTCCTCCTCCACCCAACCGAGCTTTTTTACGCGGGCCATCTTCAGTCTCTTCGCCGGATGGGTGCTCAGATTTGATTTCTGGAATCGCGACACGGATCTTACCCGAGTTGCTGCGGTCGATTTGAAACCCAGTTTTGGAGCCGACCGTTTTGGTCTTGCTAATCTGGGGTGCGGGTGTAGTATTTGTCTCGGCGTCTGAGCCTTCGGAGTCAGAGTAGCCTACTAACACCATGGTGGGAAATTTATGTTGGGGTTGTAGTTTCCTTGTAACTTGGGAGATCGGAGTTGACATTTGAATCACTTGAATCAAATTATGTATGCCCGATCCTTCAGGCACCAACCAAAATTACATAAGCACTTCAATCGAATCTCGAAGGGAAAAGGAGAAGACATTGCGTAGTGGACTAGGGGACGGGATGGAATGGACCGAAGAGAAAAATGTCCGAAAACACAAACTAAAACTTACTTGAAACAGCAGGGATGATCGCATCACTTTGTAACGTCATCGCTTCCCGGGTTCTCCGCTTCTCTAGAGGTTAATAGGATCATACATTGGACAATGGTGTTCATAGATATTCATATATTCATATTTAAAAAAAAATTTGAACCATCTGAATTGACCCCTAAGGTTGATCTCTGATGTTCATCGTAGTTGATGGATGTCTGTAGATAGAAAATAGGAGGGACTCGAAGAAATCTTGGAATAATAGGGAAAAATACGCGATCATAAATTCAGATGAATGGGATTCTAGCACCGATCAAATCAAGCGATTAGACCGAATTACAGTCTCCCAATTAGACAGATTAGCTTCATCGAAAGGGTTCAAGGGTTCAAGGGTTCAAGTGTAAAATGCTAATGAAAGATCAATGCGTCATTCTGGCCGCTGCCCCTCCCCACTTAATCCGGACCTCCCATTCCAGCTTTCTTTCCCCCCATCCCCCCCCCAATGGCCCCAAAGCCTGTCTAATCTTTTCTCCATGCCGAGTCTAGGAGGTTTACTGAAGAAGAGGCGAACGAAGGATTCGCAAGATCTAGGGAAGTCAGATACACAGAACCACGACGGTTCACGCGCATCCATGCAACCCGCTTCACACGCTTCGCCCCAGCACACGGGTACGGGTACACACGAAAATGCCGCCAGTATCGACAACATCATAAACCAGGAGCAGCCCAAACAGGAGCGTGTTACAAAGGGGAAGTACTCTCAGGAGGACTTCGAGCTTCAGCGCACCTTGGGAACGGGGAGCTTCGGTCGTGTCCACCTGGTGCAGTCTAACCACAATCATCGCTTCTATGCGATGAAAGTGTTGAAGAAGGCCCAGGTGGTCAAGATGAAGCAAATCGAGCACACAAATGACGAGCGCCGCATGTTAAATCGTGTCCGCCATCCATTCCTCATTACATTGTGGGGAACTTGGCAGGATTCCCGAAACCTCTACATGGTCATGGACTTTGTGGAGGGAGGCGAATTGTTCAGTCTCCTGCGCAAGTCACAAGTGAGTGATCCACAACCACTTTCTTCGGTCTTGTGTATGTGAAACAAAGAACTCATCTGTCATTAGCGATTCCCGAACCCCGTGGCCAAATTCTATGCCGCGGAGGTCACCCTAGCGCTGGAGTATTTGCACTCACACCAGATAATCTATCGTGATTTGAAGCCCGAAAACCTTCTGCTGGACCGTCATGGTCATCTGAAGATCACGGATTTTGGATTTGCCAAAGACGTGCCGGATATTACTTGGACACTCTGTGGTACTCCCGACTACCTGGCACCCGAGGTCGTCTCTTCCAAGGGATATAACAAATCAGTTGACTGGTAAGTCTGCTTCATTCCTTTCGTCCAATTGTTCTGACTGTCCTAAGGTGGTCATTGGGAATCCTAATCTTTGAAATGCTGTGTGGATTCACTCCCTTCTGGGACAGCGGGTCTCCAGTCAAGATCTATGAGAATATCCTGCGCGGCAAAGTCAAGTATCCTCCATACTTGCACGCCGACGCCGTTGATCTGCTCTCTCAGTTGATCACATCCGACCTCACCAAGCGCCTCGGCAACTTGCACGGTGGCCCGAGTGATGTCAAGAATCATGCCTGGTTCGCCGAGGTCACTTGGGACCGACTAGCTCGTAAGGATATTGACGCGCCGTATATCCCACCCATCCGCGGTGGACAAGGCGATGCAAGCCAATACGACAAGTATCCGGAAGAAACAGAGCACTATGGCCAAGAAGGAGAAGACCCGTATGTACTTCTTTCTCTGCCACCCACGTACCTGACTAACTCGTTCCAGATATGGCCACCTTTTCCCCGACTTCTAAGGTGCTTGTATGATTTATGACGCGACGAAAAGTCCTCTGGGGGAGGGCCGGAACTGATTGACCCCGGGAGGAGTCGTGAAAACCTAGGAGCCAATATATGAAAATCCATACTTTTCTATATGCACACCAATTTTCTCAGCAACTACAAACGAACTTTTGTGTTTTTTCCCTTTTAAATTGCCTGCTCGATGTAAAAATGGATTCGCCGTGAACCCTGTTCTCTTCCTAATCTCCCCAACCACTTAAGGCCACGCCCATTTTATACACGGGCTACCAGGCCGCTTCTATCGTACAGTAGTTCATTCACAGAGGTGCGTGTCTTTTGCTTCTTGCTTCGTCCTTCATCTTCCTTGCTTTCTTCCGGTTCGATGATTGATTGAGTTTAGCCCAGGATTCCGCTGCCGCCCTCGGGCATGCCGGTAGCCATGGAGGCAATGGCAGCAGCATCCTGACCACCCATACGCTTGGTTTCCACGCCGACACGGGCGATGTAGGTCTTACTTGTGGTGTTCCACATGGCGATGTACTTCTCCATGCAGCTAGACAGGCAGGTGTTCTCCTTGGCCGAGAGCGAGGTACCGGGAGTGGGGACGCAGGCTTTGAAGCAATGCTTGTTAATTTTCTGGACCTATTGTCAGTTCGTTGCCGGACTTGGATGTCAAGGGTGGTGACGTACTCCGATCAGGGACCGGGCGTTCGACATGGCGGCCTCCTGCTGGAGCTGGCGCATGACAGCTGCCTTGATCTCTTCGGAGGTCTGAATGGGAGCGGCGGAGCCGGAACCGAACAGCGACGACATTATGAGAAAGTGAAATAGGGGGAATAGTTGTGGATGCGATGTGGTTGAATTGGATCGAATCGAAGAAAGTCGGCGGGCTTCAGGATCTGAGGGCAGGACTGTGGCTGGTGTTCCAACTGCGCCACTTTCGATGTGGACACCTTAGCATAACAAGCTGTATACTTCACCTCCTTGTCTCCGTGTCTCAAGAACTTCGCATGATCACTCTTTGTTATTGCCTTTCCTCAAAATTCTCACGGCCTCTTCTCTTCTTTTCTGCTCGCTGGGTTTTCGGGTCCTGGTGACACCGTTTCCCGTCCATCCCACCTCCCGTCTATCCTTGAAACATTCTGAGCTCCCCCTCCATTGAGCCCTTTCATAAATCTACAATGCGTCTTCTGTCTCTTTCCTCGCTCCTCTGCTTCGCGGGCCTAGTTGCCTTGCCTGCGAATGCCTACGACGACCCAAATATCAAAAGCATCCCCGTATGTGCTCGATGTTGACTTGACTTCATGCCGCGGTACTGACTTTGGACGTCTGTTAGCTTCGCACCCACAGCCTCTCTCCGGTATGATTATATTCCGAGCCCAGCTTTTCTACGACTTCCGAAAACAAGCTGCGCATAGCTCGTGCCCTGAGGAGGAACAATAGTATTGACCGCCATTGACAGCCATACCTCGATTCGGATTTCCAAAGCCGCTGGTTCGACTTCGGAGGGGATACAGTAATCCGCGCTGACAAGTAAGGATGTTCCAGATATTCAGAGGGAAATTCTCATGAGCGCCAGTGCTGACGTTCGTCTTGGTGTTCAGATACGTCCGCCTCACGTCTGACCGGCCATCGCAGCAAGGATGGATCTCCTCCCGCGTGCCTCTAACCGCAACCAATTGGCAGGTAAATACACGGTCCCCGCGAATCAGAACATGAGCCAAAATCTCACGTATATCACCTGCTAGATTGAGCTCGAATTCGAAATCCACGGCTCCGGCAACTTGCATGGTGATGGATTTGCGCTCTGGCTCACCAAGGAGCGCGCCACGCAGGGCCCAGTCTTCGGTTCAGCAGACAGATTCGAGGGTCTTGGTATTTTCTTCGACACTTATAAGAACAACCGCCCCGGTGTGTCGTTCCCTTACGTCATGGCCATGATGGGCGATGGGCAGACCACCTACGACCAGGCGCATGATGGCAAAGCGAATGAGCTGGCCGGTTGCTCTGTGAGTAAACAATGATTCGTCGCTACCTTGGATATATATCTAATTGTCTACAGGCTCGGGGTCTCCGCGGTGCCCCCGTCCCCACCAAAGCCCGCCTTACCTACTTCCAGGACAAATCCCTGGTCCTGGAGCTGCAGTACAAGAGTGAAGATGTCTGGATCGAGTGCTTCAATCTTTCTGCTGAGAAATCCAACATCGCCATCCCCTCCGTCACATACTTGGGCCTCTCCGCCGAGACCGGCGAGCTGAGCGACAACCACGACATCATCTCCCTCAAGGTCGATAATCTATACTCCCCTAACCGTAACAATAACAACAAAGACAAGACGACGGAAGACCGGCCCCAGGGACGTGTTCGCTCCTCCCCCAAGCCTGTCGGGGAGAAGAGCAGCTGGTCTTGGTTCTTCTTCAAGACCATCCTGTTCTTCGCCGTGATCGTTGGTGGTTACTTTGGCTGGACGGTCTACCGGACCAAGGCCCGGTCATCGCGTTTCTAAATTCATGTTGTATGGACATTTGGCAAGGCACAGAACTTAAGCCTTGTTTCTGTGCGATTCAAGTTGGTCTCTGGGGTTTCCCAGCTTCTTTTTGATGAAATGGTTCTTGCATACATAGCCCGTTTGAAACTCTTATTGCTCTGATTTACCGTTCAGCTCTTACTCCAGTTCTTGTTATCTTTCATCTTCATTTCTGAAGTAAAATAAAGTCATGATCAAAAAAAAAAGCTCTGAGATGCAATAGGATGTTTAGGGTATCATGGGTATAAATAGTACAAGTAACAAATCAAGAATGCCGCCCAATGTAAGCTCCTACCTCATCACTTCTGCCGTTCTCTCTCCTCATTCCACAAGCGGTCCACAATCTGGAAAACCTCTGTGACACCGCGCATAACAACATCATCAATGCCCAATGCGCCATACCGATGCTGGATCTTATCAGGATGCCAACGAATGCGCTCCACCTTAAGCGTACCAATCAACTCGGCAGGTGCCGGAACATGACGCATGAACTCCTCAACAGCCTGGGGGCGAACATCGCCTCTCTTCCCAGAGCGAACAGGCCAGAAAATCAGATTGCGTAATGGCTTGGGAGCAGACCCCTCCGCAGCCTTCCCGATGTTCTCCCACCGTTCCAAATACTCAGCCCAGGGCGTACCCCACTCAATCTTGGCTCTCTTGCGCTCTGCGCCTCGCCGCAGACTGTCATCCATTGCACGTTCGAACTCCTCCCTCCCAGCCTGCGCATTCCTCCGAGCCTCCTCTTTCCTTTTCTGCTGCCGCTCAGCACGCAGACGCTCCTGCTCAGCCAGCATACCTTCCCGTGTCCGCTCCCACATCCGTCGACGGACGTAATCAACGTATTCGTCCTCGGTCATTTGTTCCAGCTCGCCTTCCGGGCCCCGTTGAACATCGGGCACGCGGTAATTATGTATAGGTTGCCCGTAGACGGATTCCCAGTATGCTGCGCCTTCGTCGTCGCCGAGAGCATCGAAGAGAGATTCTCGGAAGGTGTCTCTGGTTGAACCGAAGGGATTTTCAACTGTAGGGTCGGGTCGCTTCTCCTCGCGATGGCGCCTCTTGGAGGATTCGTCGTCTCTTGTCCGTGATCTATGACGGTGTGTTCGTTTTCGATGGGGACGACTGCCATCTTTGAAACGAAATGCCCGGCTGTGACCTGCGCGGGTGTGTTCGTTTGGAGAGTTGGAGCTGTGGGATGCCCCTGACTCCTCAGTCGGGATGGATTTGGAGTATTCCATCTTCAGATTTGCTTCAGTCGATGGAGCAGCTCTAATCGGATCTCATTGTTTTTGGTGTTGTTGAGTGAAGCACCAAGTGGTCAAGAAAGCAAATGAGCCAAAGCAACGGAGATAACGTGCCTTAGTCATCTTATCTCCAGCCCCACCATGTCGGAAGACATGAGGTTCGAACGTTGACAAGTGTTGTAGTAGGAAAGAAGACGCCAGTGACAGGAATATAGATACAGAATAAAGGAAAATGGTCCAACCATGCGAAGGCTTGCCGCCAAACGATTACTGAAGATCGCCACCGGATGGCTCTACTTGAATTGCATGCTGGCGTGATTATCAACCCTTTAAACCCCCTACATCATCATCTCAACTATTCCGGAAATGTCTTTATCCTCTTGAGGGGAATTATCCCTTCTTCCTCGTACCGGGTTCAGTGACAGCTACGTACCAACTGTACGGCAGTTACGGCATCCCAGTCAAAACAGTCCAGCACACAGATCATGATCAGCCCAGCAGTACCTTTAACCATCCAGTTTGAAGATCTGCTTTGTCGCCAACCAGTTCAGAGCCTGACTTTGAAATATCACTTGATCTGTTGGAGGAAATCTCATACGGCGTCCGGATGGAGCAAGGCCTATAAGTCAACTGATCCTGAAGCATAAGGGGTTGAATCAGTTTTACGCCTCGTGCTCCTATCCTCAATAGCGCTCTTCCTCAATAACACAATCCTGGTTGTCAAATCTTCCAAAATGTAATATGTATAGCAGGATTGAAGAGTCCATTACTCCAGGGATCCTACCGGCAGATGATTGGCTACTAGTAAACATTAACAAGCTTTTGAACATCCAAGATTTAGACCACGTCCGAATTGACATTTCCAGCTAGATTGCAATTTTGTAATTAGTGTGGCAGTAGTAGGTCAAGATATATAAGATACAAAGATAGTGAAGTGTATTGCAGGCAAAATAAGCAATGGTGCCCTGGAACCTAGAGACTGCAGTACTGGAACCCATCGTGAACCCTCCAAAAATATGGAGATGCAATGATTTGATTTCTATGGCGTCAAAACTGTGTCAATAATTCAAATCACACTATGTAGAGTATTGTAGAGAGCGATTCTAAACCACGCTGTAAGGAATCAAGACGACACATCCACAACCTCGGCGAACCACTGCTTGAGTGCAGTAGCCAAAACAGAGGGCAACTCCCTCACATCGCGAACAACAAGATAGTAAGGGAATGGGAAGTCCTCGAGGTATCGCTTCATCTTGAGCTTCATCTCACCACCAGAACCAGGATCGGCCTCAAAGCTGGCCTGCGAGAGGTCAAGGATAGAGCTGCCCTTGACAGCGTCGACGATAATAAAGACAACCATGATGCGCTCCTCAAGCGCCTGTCTGACAAGACGGCGAATCGTATCATGGTCTTCACAGATACCATCAGAGATAATCAACTGAAGCTGCCAGAGATCGGCAGAGCCAGAGCCAGGCGAGCGCTTCCAGCGAGCCTCGCGGAAGAGAGCGATGGAGTCGGCGATCAGTTTGCGCACATTAGTACCAGTTTGCTGGTAACTGAAGTGCTGGAAGACCTGGGAGCCGGCCTCGGAGGAGAAGGGCTTCCCGAACTCATGGGCGACACGAACATGGTCTTCGTTACCGAAGCCGAGGACACAGAGGTCGCCAGCTTCTAGCATGCTCAGACTCTTCGCAACAAGGGCGAGGGTCTCGAAGGCGAGCTGGCCACTGCCACTTTCCAGCATCGACTTGCTGTCGTCGACGGCCAGCATGATCTGGTAGTTGCGCTTTGAGGGGATAGAGCGGCGCATCCAGATCTTGTCGCGCTTGTACTGGGATGCGATATAGGGGATGATACGCTTGATGTTCAGCCGCTTTCCGGTGCGGAAGTCACCGCGGAGCTTGGTGGCCATTGTAGGGGCGAGGATGAGGCGGAGTTGTTCGGTCAGGGAGAGGGAGAGATCATTTGTGGCGGACTCGTAGTGCGACCAGAGGCGGCGAGCTTCGTCTTGTGGGGTCAATGGGGGGAGCGAAGAGGAGAGGTGGATCGCTGCGAGTTGCGAGTCAACTTCGTCAAGCTCCTCGTCCACTTCTTCAGTGCTCTGTGCTCCGTCTGCACGATCGTGGGATGATTGACCGCCAGGAATGAAGGCGCCGGCGGACTCGCCATCGGTTGGAACGGTCTCGCGGTCGATTTGCATCTTATCCTCAAGCTGGTTGTCCACGGCATCTTGCTGCTCGTCCGACACGTCTGGGAGAACATCATTCTCGCCAGGCTTGATATCGGACTCCACGCCCTTACTTTGGTCGAGGGCTTGGGTTTGGTCGTCGTTTGCTTGTCCAAGGGCCTGGGTGTCTGCAGCGTCTTCGTCATCCTTCAGGTGCTCGAAGTCCGCATCGGCCATATCGGTGTCTTGGGGCATAGGCTGGGATTCCTCCTCCTCTTGGGACGGATTGAGGATTTCCTTTTGTCGTCGATGCCATTGCTCAAGGATGTCACCGAGCTTCTTGAATGCCTGCATCTGAGGTTCATCTGGACCGTGATCTTCGCCACCGGCAGCGTCTCGGCTGGGCTGGCTCTCCTCGCTATCCTTGGCAGCACCTGTCTGTTGGTCGACATTGGCACTGGGATCAGTCGAGCCGCTTTCCTGCTGAGCGTCACCTGAAGCACCCTTTTCTTCATTTTGGTCTTGCTCGGCTCCGAGGCCACCAGTGACAGCTTCACTGGGAGCGACGTTGTCACCTGCGGCATCATTGTCATCACGCTGGGCGAGGAAGTCGTCTTGTTCAGGTTCCTCTGGATCTTCTCCACCAGCTTCCTTTTCCTCCTCTTCTCCGGCTTCGCCTTCGTTGGTTTCCTCTGCATCATCGGCCATCTCTTCATCTTCCTCACCTGGCACTTGATCCTCTGGGGCTGCCTCGGCGTCTTCTTCGCCAGCATGGTCATCGGCGTCTTCGACCTTCCCTTCTTCCTCGGGGGCAGGGCCGAAATCATCGTCAAGATCACCCATATCATCGTCATCCTCGCCATTGTCGTCCTTGCCCTCACCATCATCGAGCTGCATTTCCTCGGGAAGTTCAAGTGTTTCTTCTTCCTTCGCTTGAGGGTCGGTGACGTCCATTTCCTCACGGCCAACTGCCTCGCCCTCTTCTTCGGGGGCCTCCTCGTCTTCCGTTTCTTCTTCCTCTTCCTCACCTTCCTTTTGCTTTTCTTCACTCTTTTCGCCATCTTTGTCACCCTTCTCTTCCTGAGCAGCAGCCTGTTGTTCGGCCTCCGATTGGCCTTTTCCTTCTTCGTTCTCAGTATCCTTTTGCTGCTCGTCATTACCACCGTCCCAGAGCTTTTCGTCCACAGCACCTGGGTCAAGGTCATCGACGCTTCCTGTCTCTTCGTCGATATCGTCATCTCCTTCGTCAGCACTGTCGTCGTTCTCCTCCTCATCGTCCTTGCGATCCTCGGCATCGCCTTCCAAATCTTCCTGATCCATGTTGACGGCATCCTTAGAATCATCCATCTCATCGTCCCCATCCTCTTTCCTGTTCTCTTGTTGCGCCAACTCGGTCAGATCTTCGTCATCTCCAACATCTTTGCTGATATCTTCCGCGCCTTCGCCTTCACCGAGACCTGTTCCACTTTGCATCTGACCTTCCTTGCCCTGATCTTGGGATGCTTCCGCTGGACTACAGAAGCCTTCGGAGGCGACCTGCTTGAAGGTCTTGGTCAGGATGTACGATGTTTTACAGATCTCGCGATGAACAGCGATGAACCGATCAATCAGATCCCGGCAGATTTGGTAGTATCTGTTGGCGATAGGCAGGACACTGGTGATTAGTGCGGCAGCAATGGAGAGGCCAGCAGCGGAGTGGTCTTGCAGGTGGTGCAATTGATCTAAGACGTTGTCCAATGCTGTGGTGATCTCAGTGAGACGGACGGCCTTAATGCCGCGAGAGAAGAACTCGTCACTCCTCGACAGAAGTCCATCAAAGGTGATAGCAGAAGGCACGTCCTTGAGCTTCTGCAAGCCGATGAGCATTTTGTCAATGGCCGTCAGGAGGCTGCTATCGAAGGCTTGGATGGATAGGCTGTTCTCATCAATGACCTCAGGGAGAGCAGCGATGTTTGTCTTGGCCCAAGGTTTGATCTGATCAAGCGCGAAGGAAAGATCAGGGCGAACTTGGCTCCATTGCTTCAAGTCAGCAGCCAATTCATCGAGCGATGATTGTGCCTGCTGCGCGATCTCGTAGTTCGCGTTGGACGCAATCCTGGTGGGAAGCATGGGAAGGGTCTCGTGCGACTTGCGTAGGCTATCGAAAGTTGTCTTTTTGGCACGGAGCTGCTCCACGATCTTGGATGCATCAATTCCTGAGAATTTGGAATGCACGCCTATAATTGATGCAGCTAGTCCAAGAATAGGAGCCAGCCAAGCCACAATTCTGGCCAGGTTGGTTCGCTCTTCTGATGCAGACACATGGTCTTGCGACAGAGAGTTCGAAGCCGCTGTCCAAAGGTTCTGCACCTTGTCAAGCGTAGAATTCAACTTGCCTAAGCCTGTGAGGGCAGGCGAAATTACACCTCTCTGGCGACGGACAGTGAAAATGAGATGCTCAATAGACCCCATACTTCTGTGGACCTCGACATTGCTTAGCTCCTCGGAATAGTTGCGAGATGCTAGACGAGTCTTAGGCAGAAGATCGAGAAGTCTGTGGAAATACCAGTCGGCACTCTGAACTGCAGTCGAGGTTGCAGCGCCAGCTTCAAAGGCGGCAGCTGTAGCGAGAACCTGCGGAACTGTTTCTTGTGTTTCGATCACGCTCGATCCAGCATTACGTTTCACGCCCATCTCATAGAGCTGCTTGAGTGTCTCGGCATAGAGACGGCGTTTTTGGGATTTGAGGTGCTGCACGTCGTCCTTGTTGTCTTCGTTCAGGACCTTGGGTGTCTTGGACTTAAACTCATTCATGCTTTCAATCACCGAGACAATGAAGCTGTCGAGA